GGAAATTAAGCTGAGTTGGTTCTGCTGTCTAAAAAGGTTCCCTGCCTCAGCGTTTCTTCATTTTCCTTGAAGATGCCTGTAACATAACATCTGACCCTTGGAGGTCACTGGCAGTCTGGGCTGGAACACACTGTCCATCATAATCCTTAAAAAAAGACCCAAGCTGTGTACCACAGCATGGGAAATAGATGCTCACAGAACTTTCAATATTGAGTGGATTGAACTTGTAGCTTTGAATCTTATCAACAGCTGCAGCTCTGATGAAAACTCTCATATCTTGGCTGGTTATTTTGTTTGTCTTGTGAGGACAGAGCAGCTTCTCAAGCATGCGGTATTTATCAGTGTCCTCAGATAGATCAAGTTGCCATGCACTCACATGCAAAGGTTGTTTCTCACTCCTTATTTAGTCACACTGGGTTAGTGTGAATATTGAATCAACCCCACTAAATCAGACTTATTATTTTTCCTTTTAAATATCCTAGAACACCATTTGCAGCTGCTATACTCATTGCTCATCTCTGGTACATGAATCCAATGATAATTCATACTTTTTAAGCCCTCTCTTATTTGTATTTTGCTTGAATATCAAAGTTAAGCAGTAATTTTATTGGCGCATGGTGATTGGGTAGAGCAGAACAGACTTTTCATGAATCACAGTGAGATTAGTACGATCAGACACCAGCAAGCATCCTTCTGTGGTAAATCAATCCAGATATTAATAATAATAGTGTTTTAGTGACAGTTTAATGTTGAGAATTTTTGTTTAACCCTTTTTACCTGATGAATTGGTTGTATTCAGGAATACATCACGTATTCTGTAAAGCAATCCCTGAACAAATGCACTAGCATTTTCTCAAGCTCTATAAACAGACACCAGCATGTACAGTATGTGCAGTCAGTGAGCTGGTCTTTGATGTTGTCTTTGAACCCAGTCCTCCTCTCTCAAGTTTATTTTATCAAGCTGTAAAAAATGATGAGAACATGGAAAATCTTTGTTTTGGTCAAAAATGCATCATCACTTGTCTGACTTACTACAGCCTACACATAGATGCCTCAAGATTGGTTGTTTTTTTCCAGGAATCAAACAATGGAGCATTGACTGTAAATGAAATAGATGACATAACTTCATTTCTGCCCAATGTGAAATATAAAGCCGAAATAATGCCTTGATAGGTGTTGACAAATAACACTGATAATGCTGCCAAGCGAGCCCAGGAGGGACCTGGCTGGTAGGGAAGCGGGACTGACATCACACCCTTTCCGCTAACCAAGACACGCTTTTAAATTAATGAAACGTCCAGGAACCCTCAGGTAGGTACGATCCACAGCAGAAGAGATTCTTGATTGATTTAGAGCAGACTCTCAATCACTCTTGTGTTAGTGTTTAAGTTTCCTATCATTATTTATCCTCCATTCCACTAATCTAATGACGAACTGAGGGACCCTGAATTCTTAACACAGCTGTCAATCATTCCTCTAAAATCCAGTAACTAGTTATAGATAAACCAATTAGTTAAATGCCCTCTAAGACATAAATCAACATAATTAGAATTATCCTCAATGACAGAAAGAATGTTGAGAAAAAGAAAAAAAAAGGTTGACAGGTATTTTGAATTTATAGTTTGACCCATGTTCCACTTGTTTACATAAGAGAGGCGGGGTTTATTACTTGTACAGCTGTCAGTCAGTGGGGTAGCTCTGGCTCTTTGGCATCACAGCTTGTAAACACTTTCAGCATCCTTTTCTACAATTCAGTCCATGGTTCAGAGATTGCTATGAAGCTAAAAGGTTGTGCTAATGTGTAAGCTGGTGTCTATTGCTCTGCAAATACAAATGAATGCTGGTTATAAACTGAGGAAACAATGTGGTCATAACTGTTCAGGTAACAGTTACTCACATGCTCCCACATCTGACAAAACAAAGTAAAAACCTTCAAGTGTTGACATAATGTTCAACCCCAAATATCCAAATTTAAATATCAATAGGCTAAAAATCTTTGCATTGGAGAAGCTGTAACTTGTTATGATTAGACTGATTTTATAATATTGTAATTGAGTAGTTTGTTAGTTTTATCCGATAATCACTGATTTATCCATCGGTCAAACAACTGCTTAAAATCTAATGTAGAGCGCTTAACCTCATCATTAAGACTTCAACCTGGTTTGTTATTTTCAACTTCTAATTCCAACAGATAAGATTAGGACTCCATTCTCTCAAACAGATATTCACTATCTTTCTGATCAATGACAGAAATATTCAGATCTTTTTTGAAGTTTGGAATGAAGCATGTGTTTGGGTCGGGACTATAAATACTCTTTAATGTGACAGCTGGACTCACCCGAACCATAGCATAGGTTTGGGGTCTTGCTTTAAATTTAGATTCAGGCCTTGACTGGGGCCTTCAGGATATCAGGGCCATCCTTTCATATACTGAGGAACTCTAAATTGGATGCCTGGCAGTCTGTTACATTCTGGCCATTGTTAAGACATCGTAAGGTGTTGAGTGGGCATTGTGGTGGGTTGGCGGGGACCTCAAGATAAAGGCATACTGTCCCGTCAATTTACCATAAAGACAACTGGGAATGTTGCATGGTGGACTGGAATGCAGGCCACTTACCCCTGGAATCCCTGTTTGCTGCTCTGGAGGATTCACTACAATTGAGACTGTGCTGACCAGTCAGGGCAGAACAAAGACCGGCCATCAGTCAGATCAAATGACACACTGAATTTGTCGCAGCTCATTTACAATAGATGCAGCATTTTGCAGCTAAAGTTATGGAGTTGATTCATACACGATATATACCATGTGCAAAAACAGTTGCTACTTCTACCTGGCATTACCACTGTCTGAGAAATCCTTAAAGTTGTGCTGCTTACTCAATCATCTGTGGGAAAGACAATTAGTCCTGAAAATACGAAGAACGAATGAAGCGAATCAAATAAAAAAAAAAAAACAGCTTCCATCTCGCAAATACAGTGAATACAATAATGGTGTAAATGACTCCCAGTGGCAATATCAGTGAGCCAAAAGTTTTGCAAGCCAAGATTTGTTAGAATACAAACGTTAACAGAGCTGCTCGAACCTTAAATGATCTGCAATATTTTTACAACTCTATCACTACCATTTAAAACAGCTGAGTGTGATGTCAGGGTGAAATAGCCACTGCATGAGGTTGCCTCATTTTCTGAATTACCATCTAAAATAAACCTTATAATAACCATGTATACTCATCCCCATGCTACCCTGCCTGCTCTGTTGACAGAGATGGACCCTGCTAAATGAAGCAGGCTGTTACAGTAGCCTCTGAATTTTCATGGCTTCAGCCCAGATTTTAAAAATAAACTTGGTGCTCACCTCAGTGACAACCATTTTGTCACCGTACTTAGGAACTCTGCCCGAGTCATTTACAGCACTGCACATGTTTCTACATTTCATCACTCTTGTCCCAGTAGTGCCAACTTTAATGCCTTCTGCCACTGGGCATGGCTCCAGTCATTCAGACTCTCTGGCATTGCTTGAATGGTGGGTTGGACACTATAAGTATTTGTGTACGCTACTGTGCTCTGACTTTTAACTCCTTGGTAATGAGCCCACAGCCGAAACTAATGGTTCTGGGCAGGAAAGAGGGCACTGCAATTAATCTCTATGGAAGAACTAGCTCTCCTTAGAGTCAATGTGCACTCTATGAACTCCCAGAACCATGATAAGGAATCATTTAGTTTGCTCTCTTCTTCTTCCTCTTATGTACCATCATGCATTTGCTGTTATCTTGCAGTCTTCTCCTCAGTGCCATGGAAATAAATGGGATTCAAAGTGGTTGGGTTCAAGCTCCATTAAATCTGAATTCTTAACTTGAAAGATCACAAATAGGAGAAGATAGAAATGTTCTTATGAAGGACTCATCTTAATTATCAGCTCTGGGCCTCACGTGCGGACATTTAATACATCATACATGTACTGAGTATAGTACTTGGGGTGTTTTTTCAATACGCCAGCAGTCCACCCTTGTTTATGAGAGAAATCAGAACTTTTTGGCAATCTTGCTTGGTACATGATTCAGAGGTCAAAGTTCTGTGACATCAGATTTCTACAGCGGGGATTTTTGGGGCTCCAGGGCTTATTCTGTTGATAATTATCAAGCAGTGTTGTGTCATATCTGGAATCAATCACCAAAAATGAACTCCATCCGTATCTTGAGGCAGTTGTAAGAGGGTAAACAGACTAATCCTTGCCAACACTCCATGTCCTCCAAGACATATCGCAACATCCCCTTAAAAAGTAAAGTCAATGTGGAAATGCAAAAAACTGCAGTTCCTGCAGTGTCCACTTGAGGCTGGCACCAAAAGCCCAGAATCCCCATTAACACATATTTCAAACTTTCCAACTTACAGCAACAGGTAATTCTTTTTTTTCTTTTTTTTTTTCACTTATCCATCTCCATAATAGTTTTGCAGAGGTTCGCACAATATACGATGTGGGTGCCTTGATTTAAAGGTGGGCACACTGTCTATTTTTTAAAATAAACTTTAAGAGCACTCGGCAAAAAGGTTAAAACACCCAGGAGTCCAACAAAATGTGCTCCCTGACCACCAATGTTCAGCATGAGATACACAACCCTTCTGAGAGAGCAAAACCTGACAGAAATACATAGAGAGACACACAAACCCCATGTAGTGATAACCACATGTAGTGATTGATAACTGTGGATCTATATTCTAGACAAAATGTTACAAAGAAAACTGACTCTAGTTGTGATCAGTTTATAATGTGTTTGTTTTCATGGGTCATCTATTGTTTCATAAGAGTGAGTCAGTAAAACAGCCAATGAGAAATTACAATATAAGGAAATGAAGTCATTGCCACTTAATCTTGAGTATTACATCGAACAGGTCCATAGGAGAGAGCTTTTATGAGAAGTGTTAATGGTTGGAGTACCTGAGAGGAAGGTAAATTTCGCCTTTAAAAATCAAATAACCTTTGTTGTCTGTGCAGGTAGAGGATGAGGTCCAAAAGCAGCGGGGTGGAGAGCCCAGCCAATGGGGTACTTGGCGTTCCACAGGGGGACAATGACATCAGCCAAGAACAGGAAGTGGGTCTCCCTGTAAAGAGCCTTATCACCAAAGTTCAGCAGAAAGAGGATGAAGAGAAAGTGGAGGTCGAGGTGATCTCTGACAAAGAAAAGCTGCTGTGTGATTCCTCTGAGGATACAGAAAAAAAGGGAGGCATCCATGATCCGTCCAAAGAGGATCTGCTGAGGCTGCTGGGGATCATGGAGGGAGAGGTTCAGGTGGGTTTCCTTATTGTTTTTTGCATATTATGTGTTTTGCTGTGTAGCTAGCATGAAGCCAAGTAATATAAAACTTTTCCAAGAAGGGCATTGTGGATTTACACAATCTCTTTAGATGGAAAACAACTCTGCCTTCATGTTATTTTGAGTCAGATCCCTTTTCCCTGCACAACATCTCCATCTTGTGGTTAAAAGTGGAAGTTGAAAACACTGAGGTCCTTTCCGAGTGACTTTTGGAGAGGAGTCAGTATTTCATTACACAAATGAAAGGGAATGCATACAATCTGACAAATTGACTGAATTGACCCCAGAGAAATCAGTGCAAAGTGCACAATCAAAACATGTATCATGTCCTCTGAAACCATCCGTTCTTACATTTACACTCCCTGACTTAATGCCTCCGACATCTGTTCACATGGAACAAACCTCCCTAACCCCCACTTCCTTAAGCGAAAATATGAAGGAATGTGAATGATAATTGTGCATAATTATATTTCCTTTTGGTTTCAGGCAAGAGAAGATGTAATCTGCATGCTTAGGGCTAAACCTGCTGCCCCAGAGGCCATTGAATCACGATATGGGTCTGCAGTTCCTGGTTCTGCCTTACAGGCCTTGCAGAGGGATGGCGTTATCACAGGCACCAAAACAAACAACCACAGTGTCTACCAGAAGCCCATGATTGAGGTAAGCAATCCTTTTTTAAAAAAAAAAAAAGTTTCAATTGTACAAGATTGTGCTTGTTTGCTGGTGTGTATGTGATTATCCTGTCATTTCTCTTTCCCAGCTGGAGCGTCTGCAGGAGAAACACAAGGAAACATACAGGAGGATGCTGGGTCAGCTGCTGCTTGCTGAGAAGTGCCACCGCCGTACCGTCCAAGAGCTGGACACAGAGAAGCGCAAGCATGTAGACTACATGAACAAGAGCGACGACTTCACCAACCTTTTGGAGCAGGAGCGAGAGAGGTGAGGGGGAGAGGGATTCAGGAACATGGGCACCAATAGCCAATATTGTACCAATATCGTTAATGAGGACTTGTTGCATGCTCTACATAACTTTATTTTATTACTTCTAAATTTGCCAATATACAAACTTCCAAATTTGCAAATTATGAAGAAACAACAACACAACAACAGAAAGAGATAAAAAAAAAACAAAAAAAAAAACAAAAAACAAGAGAACCTGAACCCTTCACCAAGAATCTCTATATGTGTCTCTATACAAAAGAATTGAAATTCATATAAATGCAAACAGCATTTGCCAGTCAAGAACAATTACAACATAAAAGCCCAACATTTAAGAACTGATATACACTTTCATCATGTAACAAAATCATACTGAGGATAACATTGGTTTAATTGGCAGTACAATGATACCATAAGATGGATTGATGTCAATATTATTTAATTTAGTGTGTTGAATAAAACAGTTTATGTTTTCGGTACTGAAAATTTGGGATACTAGAGAAAAGATAACAAAGGGAATAAACTAACAGTGCAAGAGAGAAACATACCGTGCAACAGAGAGCCACTGTGGTGTAGAAAAATAGTCTGAAACCAGTGTATATAAAGTCTGCGAGGTGAGATAATCCAAGGGGAAAGTGTGGCAAAGGAATCCACTAACATCAGAGAATGTGTGAAAAATTGCCTCATCAGCCATGAGAGGGAAGAGACGATGAGAAAGGGGGAGATGGTGACTGGAGCGATAACCTCACATACCTTCATATAACAGTGAGAGCTACACAGCCTGCGTGAGGGAGGGTGGAGGTGATGTGGGGTGAGAAAGGGGTCAGGTTATTTGCTCTGGTAAAGAGGGAGGTCAGGGGTAGACAGGGGGCGGGGTCACGGGTGGAGGAGCAAGAGAAAAAGACAAGAGATCCTCGACAGGAGAAAATCTCCCATGACATCATCTGTGAAATGAAGTCATCACTGAGGTTGTGACCTGGCTTGTTGGTCAAGGGGAGACAGGGGATGGGAGGTCAGGTGGAAAGAAGCTCTCTGGAACATAGGAGAGGGGACAAATGTATCACGTGTGTGAGGAGGGCCCCACAGAGTTCAAACAAGCTGGGCTGCGAGAGTGGAGATGTGCAGTGAATGTGTATGAGGAAAGAGGCCCTACTAATTAAAGTGACTGCTGATGAAAGAGTTAAATTGGCTGTTGCTTGTTAGGGAATGTATTTTGTTGCAGTTCCCATCACACATGGCAGTCTGTTCTCACACAATAACAGGGAGGTAGGGACGTTGTGTACATCAGTTGTTCATTGTAACGGTGAAATGATATGTCCTGTGGAAATATATATATATATATATATATGTGTATATATTTATATAAAGAAGTTGTTTGCTGGTCTTGGAACCTGCCTGCTATTGTCTGGTAAAGGAAACGCAGACTGTTACCCTGTACATGCTCACTGAAACAAGATTAGACAACACTACTCAGATTTCAAATGAAAAAAAGAAATGCTTCTGGCACCAGATGTGTGCCACACACTTAGAGACTTCATTTATATGCAGAATCTGTTAAAATAGATAGAGAGTTTGCCAACAGGTATTATTGCACGTGTGAGAGGGACTACCAGAGAAAGAGGAGCATATCTGCACCATATAATATAAACCATATAGGTATACATGCAGTCAGTCATGTGTAGAGCAGACGAGAGACCACTTATATGCCGCATTTCATTTACTGTCAGAACTTCAAACAGTTCATTTGCGGCACTGACCCACTGGCTGCACAGAATACATCTCTTCCTGAGCTTTTACTGCAGGACACAGGAAACAGACCGTGGAAGCTAAATCACAGTCATGACAGCTGAGCCGCCATCACACACCAGAGAGAAGCCTGGGAAATGAGCAGCAGACTTGAGTTTAGCATCAAAGCTACTCTGTTGGATGGTTTTTATGAGAAAGGGAAGAAGAGTATAGCCGTTTCTCAAAAAAAATTAAATTAATGTCGGCTGAGAACTGTTGAGAGTTTAAAATTTCTACCAAAGTACAAACTCACACATTTGGAATGCTGAATACATGCTTACTGTATATTATCTCGAGAATCTGAAGAGATCTGCTTTAGAATTTAAACTAAAAACATATTTCAGCTGTAGTTGTACACCATGAATGCATACATGAGTTCACATGTAGAACAGAGATCACATTTTGAGTTACAATCAAGTTTATTGATTCCTTCATGCATTGTTGTTCAGGCATATTGGTTCTTTTAAACATAGGTCATGGAACATGGCCTTGAGACAGAATGAAATAGTTCAGAGCTTTACTCGCTTTGTGTGGTTGTATTATGATTTGGACTTCAATTTGAGTGGCATGTCAACATGGTAATATGCTCAAAATTGCAACGCTAACCAGCTAAAGTGAAGTTTGTTAATTGTTTACCACAATGTACCTCCATCACTATTATTTAATCATGTTTATGCTTCCATTTGCTAGCTACCGCTGAGTTTTGACCTTATGATAGCATTGAATGTTTCAACAATCATATCTTCAAACTAATACAGTCACACAGTTAGTACTTGGGGTTTAAAACATGCTATGTTCATACACTGGTGGTCAACAGTCAACTTTGTGGCAGTACTTGGATATCACCTTATTCATTGTGGAGTCATCCTATGGAGAAAACTAATGTCTTTTAAAAAATTGGAAAACCAACATATCTTTTAAAAGCCTTTAAAAATTGGCATCACTTTAAAGGACATAGCGCAATCCAATGGCAAACTTCTTCACTTTCACTTGATCCTTGGTTTGCTCTCAAGGAAAAGGTGACCCCCTTCTGATGCCAGGTAGTTTCCATTAAGTTCTTTGGCTTGTGCACAGGTTAGCCTCTGTCACCTCACAGAGAGAGTGAAGGGGACAACCACTGCTGTCAGCACCTACAGAGCCCAGATTCTTCTTACTGTTGCCCTAGAAGGAAAGAAATCTGACTAAGAGTTGAGAATAGATACATAATCAGAAACAAGCAGAAGAAAACATTATCCAAACCATGGTTTTACATGAATCAGAACCAGTACACTGAATGAAGATAAACACATACTACTCGGGATCCAAAGAGATCCCAAAACACATGGCAGCATTCATTTTATTTGCATGAAAGTAGAGACACAATAGCATGCAAATATAAGCCATTCCTTGCGCTGCCCTGTTTTGACATTCAGTCTCTAAGGTGAGGTGGACACGTGTCAGTGTCTCATCTTTATCAAGTTGATCTCCTCCAGCTATCTGGGTGAGAGTGAAGACAGAACAGTCAGAGGTCTTGTGCCAAACATCTACAGGAATGCAAAGGATGGGCACATCAGGAGAGGTATTTTCTCAAATGCAGCCATCAGCCATTAACACCCTTTCAGACAACAAGCAATTTATATGTCAAGGGGTTGAAATATTTCAGTGGCATGGTGGTATGTGTAATGGTTATCAGAAGAAAAGGCTCTGGTTTCTGTAGGGAGTGAATGGTGTAAAGTCACGCACACAGATTAAAATGAACACCTGGTTTTTAAAGCTAAAATAGTTGTTTTCTTGGCCTTTTAAAGTCTTATGACAAAAGCTTCAAACAGTTTAACTTTCTGAACATAAAATAAAGTCAGCTCTGTTGTTACCACATTGAATTCTCTCTGATTTCTCTCTTTTAACACCACATAAATCTTATGCACTGTACACTATCACTGGCCCTCAGTGCTGAACTGTAAATGCTTTAACTCTGTCAGGAGAGGTCATTACTGTACAACACTTTGTTTTGACAGTTTTTTGGCAGCTCATTTCTGCCTCAATCCTCAACCTCTCTACCCAGGAGGGTTGCAGTGCCTCTGAGCAAATTCCCCAGGAAGTATGGGATGAGATGTTGTTCCATGATTACAACTTTTTTTCTGTGTTCATTGGCTAATAGATGACACCTGTGCATTTAGCTAGGAAGTCAAATTTTACAGTTTCACACGCTAACTTTGGTTCTGTAATTCCCCTTAATTTAACAATTTTCTTAAACCAAAATGATATGTCTGGTAACATTAATACTAAGAGGAAACACTTGCGTCCTATTGGTAACTGCATTTCTCTATCAGGGTGCAGTTTTTCTGTTTTGATAATAAGCATAATTTTTGTACAAGTATTTGTTTTTGCCACTGGGACCTGGACTTACTGTTTACAGCCAATTCATGCCGTTTATTTCCTCCTTAGTAGACTAACTCTTGGTTCTTGCATTACTTGACCATTGGACCCAAATACAGCTGACATCATGACTTTGACCTTTACATGAAAGTAACTTTAGAAGGCCAATTTCTTGGGTATCATTGACATCTGGCTTTTATGTTTGAATTTTAAGAGCTGCATTCAGATCTGGATGGTCTCTTTGCACTGTAGCCAAACACATCAATTCAACTTGGCAAAGATGGCTGCTGTTATTGTAAATCCCTGCACATGCTTACTGCCATTTGCTCTCTAAAGTTTCAAATTCAAATACGTTTTTCTCAAGGCTGGAAAACAGGGTGTTAAAAAAATGACTCTGTCTCAACCTTTTCATGTAAGAATCTGTGTTTATTCTTCATAGACTAACTGTTATAGTTACTTGTCATCCCAGATCTTTCTCAGCTCAAGGGAGACATTGACCTCATCCATATCTGTTTTCCTCATCACACATAACTGTAAGGAACCCACTTTAAGTCGAGGTTCTTGTTGAGTGGAACACCAGCAGACTCTTCAGTCAGGTTTTATCTTCTGGTCTGCATAGGTAAAGTCCTTTGCAATTTGGACTACGAAGACCAAGGTAATATAATTTCATTTTCATCAACTTGCACTAATACTGATTTGCCCAAACAACACTGAATATTTCTCAATTGTTGGATTTTCTTATGAAATTTTTTAATGTGTTAAAAAAAGTCTGTAATTGCTTTTCCTCCAAAGTGCCATGTTTTATATAAGCATAGAAATCGGTAAGAGTTCAGCAAAGCACTCCTCCTGTGGCAAGGGTCCCACCCCCTTCACTGTGTCCACAGCAGAGCAGCACACACTCTCGTACACACACTGCCTTATATGGATGAGGTGACATCACTCACCAGAGGTCTGATGGTGCTGCACTGTATTTATTCACCTTTCATTGTCCCGATAACATGCTTGGAATGCAAACGTGGAATATCTGTAAAACAAAAGACCCCTGCTTCTTCTTGTGTATTTCCTATGGAGTTTGTATGATTGCAAAAGTTGTTCTTTTGTTGACTCTGAGGCAGCAATAGTGGGTAAGTTTAAATGTGTCTTTGTTGTTCAATTTCTGAAGTTATGTGGTTGTTGATTGTTCTTAACAAAGCTCATTTTTAGTCTTTATGTTTAAGCTGTGAGTGCACAGTCTTCCTCACACTGTGCTAGTCGGTGTGCTGATTTGGTGTCTTTTGCAATGCAAAAATATTCAGGTTGAATGTATCTCTGTGGGAGTGTGCAGGGAGAGGATGCAAGCTTTGCATTCAATCTGCTTTGCATGCATTTTGTTGGAGCTGGGGATGAGAATGGGCATGAGCAGCATAGAAAGAAGCCAAGAGAAAAGAAGACCACTTGGTGAGGGGGTGTTAAACTTTCTCCAGCAGTTTGTGTTCTTAGTCTTTATCCCAACAACAGGAAGAAAATACGAGGAGAGTTTAGTGGTGTGGTTGAGAGTGGTTAAGATCTTTGCCAGTTCTCCCACTTGATCCTGTTACTTGTTCTACATTGCAGCATGAATTTCCTTTAATTGCACAGAATAGACAAACTCAGCAGTTGTCTGAGGAAGATAAAAAATGGTTTCATGCATTGAATCAGTTTCAGCAGAACAATATAACACATTTGATTGATAGGTACTGGTGTCTCTGAACAATAAGGTTTGAATCTTGAAAAGTCTAAATGTAAAGAGCTTGTCTTTTGGTATATGGTGTGAATGTTTTAGATTATACCTTACATAATAATCATGAAGATAAACTCTACTCAAACTAATGAAAAAAAGGGGATTATTACTCATGACCACTGAAAGATTGACTGGGATTAAGCATCTCATCCTGGATTAAAGATCATCACATTTCACTGGCATGATGGCACATACAAAGCTAAAGACTTTATCATCAATAAACACCGTAGTAATACTGTTTTCCCTCCAATTTCAGACTGAAGAGGCTTCTCGAGACCGAAAAGGCCTACCAGGTAAAAAAAGAGAAGGAGCACTCCAAGCGCCTGGCCAAGGTTCGAGAAGAGCTGGTCAAGCTGAAGTCCTTCGCCTTGATGTTGGTCAATGAGCGCCAGCAGCACCTAGAGCAAATGGACCAACAGAGTCAGCGGGTCCAGGAGCTGAGCCAGCAGCTCCAGCAGCGGGAGCAGGCACTGAGCGAAGCCAGGGAGCATGCTCAGGAGGATGGTCACAGGGTGCTGAGTCTAGAGGCTGAGCTGAAAGAGAAATCTGCCAAGCTCACCCAACAGTATGAAGAAATGACTGCCAAGCTGGCCAGTCATGAGATTAACAACCGCCAACTTAATGCCAAACTTTTAGGGCTAATGCATAAAGTGGAGGAACAAGAGGAAAGCAACAGAGCCTTAAAGAAATCTGAGGAGGAACTTCAAGAGCTGAGGGAGAAAATCAGTAATGGGGAATGTGGCAACTCAAACTTAATAGCTGAGTTGGAGAACTTGAGGAAACGGGTTCTGGAGATGGAGGGAAAGGATGAAGAGATCACCAAGACTGAAAACCAGTGTAAGGAGCTGAGAAAGAGGCTACTAGAGGAGGACAGTAAGAGTAAAGACCTCAAGCTAGAAGTGGAGAAGCTCCAGAAAAGAATGATGGAGCTGGAGACACTTGAGGCCGCTTTTAGCGTAAGTAAGGCTGAGTGTGCACAGTTGCACACGGCTCTAGAGAAAGAAAAGGGCCTGACCAAAGAGCTCTCAGATGAAGTCGTCGCCCTCAGGATCCGGATGAAAGAGCTTGAATCCTCTGAACTGAAGTTAGAAAAGTCCGAGATGAGCCTTAAGGATGACTTGAGTAAGCTGAAGTCACTAACTGTTGCCTTGATGGACGAACGAAAGACCCTGATGGAAAGAGTTAAATCAGATGAGAAGAAAAAAGAGGAAATGAGTAAAGTAATCAAAGTTGAGCAGGGTAAAGTTATGGAGGTGACTGAGAAATTGATAGAAGAAAGCAAAAAGCTCTTAAAGCTTAAATCAGAGATGGAAACCAAAGTAGAAACTCTCACTATTGAAAAAGGGGAGCTCAGCACCAAGCTTGCCTATGAAACTGATAAAACAACAGATCTTAATTCTAAGGTCAGTCAAATGAAAAAGAGGTTGGATGGCTTTGAGCAAGCAGAGAAGCTATCAGTAAAGAATTTAGTGAAAAGTGAGCAGGGAAGAATGTCTGACTCTGTTAAACGAGAAGACAATAAAGTTATGGAGTTGACATTTGAAATTGAGCACCTGAAAAATCGCCTAAAACAACTTGAGGTAGTTGAAGGAGATCTGATCAAGACGGAGGATCAATATGATATGTTGGAGAAAAAGTTCATGACTGAACAAGACAAAGCCAACATTCTTTCCCAACAAGTAGAGGAGATGAGATGTCAAATAGCACGAAACAAAGCAATAGAGAAAGGAGAAGAGGAATGCCAGGAAGAAGACCTCCGTCAACGATGCATGAGGGAGGAGGTCAAAACCAGGGAACTACATGCTGACGTTATCGCCCTCAAGGAGAAGGTCCATGAACTAATGCATAAGGAAGACCAACTCTCTCAGCTTCAAGTGGATTACTCGATCCTGCAACAGAGATTCTTGGAGGAGGAGGAAAAAGCCAAGAACATGGGTACTGAAGTTTTTCATCTCACCAAAGAATTAGAGATCGCCAAGCGCCATAGTCGAGCCCTAAGACCCAGTTTGAATGGGAGAAGAATGGTGGATGTTGCTGTGACATCCACTGGAGTGCAGACAGAGGCATCACCCAATGGATCAGCTGAAGAGGACACCCCAGCTGGATTCATTATGAAGTCTGTCCAAGAGGAGAATCACATCATGAACAACATAAGACAGAAGTGTCTAAAGAAGCCAGCGGAAAAGAGTGGTGGTATTGAGCGTTTCCCTTCATCCAGCGGCGACCTAGGTATGAAAAAATCCTGGATTCCCTGGATGAGGAAAAAAGACAGTACCCCTCATGAGACCAATTTGGAGAAGTCTTTGCAAATCAACGGAAACCATTTGCCTTCTGGACTAACCATGTCCCCAAAGCAGGGGCAGCCTTTACACATTCGTGTCACACCAGACCACCAAAACAACATGGCCTGTCTTGAGATTAGTAGTCCTACTGCTGAGGATGTTTTCTCCAGCTCGGCTCCCCTAAGCCCTAATCCATCTCAACCTAAATCAAGAATCACAATCATTCCCACCTATCCTGCTTCAACCTATAAGAAAAAGTCCACCATTGGACCCCAGGGCCCAGAAAGAGCAAAATCTCCAGTCACCATCACAGCAATATCCAGAGCCAAATCACCAGAGTGTAGACGCACCCCCTCCTCAGCTTCTGGAAGACCTATGTCTCCTCTCTCAATTATGACAGTGAGCACAGCTATAGGGCCTGAGGCATCTGCCTCCCCAGAACCACAAGAGATGACAATGGGCCGAGCTGTGTTCAAGGTTACCCCAGAGAAGCAAATGGTCCCAATGCCAATACGAAAGGGTCCCAACACCACTGGTGTTATCACCACTACTGATGATAACAAGATCCACATTCATCTGGGCAACAGCATCACCCCAAAGATGGTAGTCAGGCCAGTAACTTCTGTAACAGAGAACAGAGAAATGACCTTATCAACTGGGACAGTTCTTCGCTCCCCCCGCCAAATTACCTCTACAACTACCAGGAGCACACAGAGTAAAGTAATGAGCAGTATCACCATATCCCCTGTTGCAGCCAACCCTTCAAGACCCACTCAAAGCACGGTAGGTTTCTTTGACCTCATCCATTCTGTGTCATTTATGGATAACAGAACTGTATCATATCATTGGTCCGAACAACTGGTTGGAAGAAAGCACTCTTTAGAATCAGAATCAGAACCAAAATCAGCTTTAAAGGCCAACCATATACACACATGAGAAAATTGACCCCTGTAAACTTTGCCCTCCCTGTACAAACATAAACATGAAACATTACACAAATATGTTAACGCTTACAGTCAACATTTAACTTATACACACAAGACCTTTGTTATAATTGACAGTAGTTACAAAGGTTTTACAGATAAACAGTGATTTACTGTCACAGTGAGTGTTTGTTTACAGGTTATTTCTCAATAGTTGTTCTGTTACTCTGTGAACATTAAGAGTTTATCAGAGCAACAGCCCACCCTACTATTAAACTAAACATTGTCAATGATATTGCATTGAAACAAGGCAAAGAATGATGGCATGAAACTTAACCCACATCTGATTATGTTATTTTTGTCTCACCACTGTCATAATCCCTGATACTTTTTCCATGTTAGTCCCTTAACACTACTTATTCTATTCTGTGTTCTGGTAAGTGTTAACTTTATGTGCCTGCTTTGATTTTGTAGACTTTCATTTCAAAGCCTCCAATATTTGTGTCTCTAACCCCCCCTGCTGTTTTCTGCGACTTTCTTTTTTTTCCCCACTGTTAGCAAACCAATTCCAAGGCAACAAGACTTTGACATGTGCATGTGGTTACTGTAAGACTGCTGCAGTCTGTGATTAGAACCATATTCAAAGCCAAGAACGCGCTGTCGTAAAAGAACAGACTGGTGCTTTGGCAAATTGATCAATCAGAATCAAGAGTTTAACACGATCCTGTAGAGCAGCTTACTAATGCCCTTTTTAAATCTACTTTTTTTCTCCTTGTAAAACACAAAATTTAGAAAAGATAATCCATGGCCTTATACTTAATTGTCTGTTGGATGACATTAATTATGACCTTCTCTGAGGTAACAAATCTCCTCTTTATACTCTAGTTTTTGTGATAATTAAAAAAAAAAAAAACATGCTTTTGTGTTATTTCTTGGAAGATTTTATATGTTCCAAATCATCATGTTTAGCTTAAGTATTTGGCTGCTTACTATTCGTAGCCAACAGATGTAAAACAAGTAGTGGTCTTCTCTCCTTAGTCTCAAACAAAAAAGTGAGTAAACCCTTTTTCTAGCATACCTATTTAACATTGAAATTTATTTTCCATTGTCTTACAGGTGACAATAATTTCACAAAGTGTAATACACATTATATGTAGTTATATAAGGTGAAATTACTACAATGGGAACTGAAGCGAACAACATCAGGGTTCCACTGGACCTTGTAATATGCTCTTTGTGGATCAGATTGATAGCGTGACAGAAATGGCCCTCTGTGTGGGCCTCAGAGCACCAGAGCTAATGATGTGGCATTTTGCCACCCTGTTACAGTCAGGCTGTAATTTATAGTTGTTACTCTGTGTTTACATTCACAAACAGCCAATGCAGGGCTCTGTGCCCTTTGGCTGGCACAAAGCAGCCTGAAAACAGTAACAACACATGAAAACCTAGACTGAAGAAGTGCTTGGACTGAAGTGAAAGAATGACTAAATATTTACATTTATTATTCACATGGATCAGCATATGATCAGCTACATTGCATATAAACTCTGGATTTTCATTTATTTTTTGGTCTATAATGGATTTAACCTATTTCTCATTATTTACACTTTATGTCCCCCGAAAATGATCCACTGTATTCATACTCATGCCTGAGAAACTGTACTCTCTTCCCCTATTGTCAACAGACTGGGCATGATGCCCAGCCAGCGCGCTCAGGGCTGACCCGCATCCCAATGTCCAAGAGCCTGAAGACTGGGAAAGCTGTGTTGGGAACCATGGGGATCTCGGGTGGTGTGAAACTGGAGTCACGAGCTGAGAGTCAGTCTATGAGGATAGAAGTTAAAAAATCCACTGTGAATAGCAATACTTTTCAGAATGGTGGAAAAGCTTGATATTTATGATGGCAACAAGAAACTTAATCATCTCTGAATATGGTGCTCAAACAGTCAAATATCTTAACACAACAAGGCAACACTGCATTTTTGTAATAAAGAAGCCATTGATTTCTAACTTTTTGAAAGTCTTATGTATACAACTATATACTTACTGTCTCATATCAATGTCTGCAAAATTGATGGATACATGTTTTTTTGTATTTTCAGTGTGTATTTTAATGGGCATTTGGATTAAATATTATAACAGACTTTGCTGCTACTAACTGTTTCCTGCTTTGTGTGGTTGTATCACATATGATGAAATATTTTGATCCTACTTTTTAAGGACAGGTTATTAGACAAAATTATTGTTTGTCTGTATATCATGTTTTTTTCTGTATATAGGGTTTGTACTGAAAAGCATTTTAAATAAATATGATTTCAAAGGCCATGATATGCTCCTTTATGAAGGAAAATAGGAAACACAAAAAATTGGCAGAATATGCTGAGGTATTTGGGGTAACAGCGAGAACAAAAAGTTGCATGCCACTTAACGGCATAGTGGCATATACCCGTTTTCAAACTAGCATACCAATAAAAAAATGGCATTTGCCACTAAATGAAACTGGTATACCAGTAAAAAACAAAATATGCTACTTGCATACCACTTCAAAGTGTCATAAACCACTGCTGCTCCTTTAAACACCACTGAGTGTATATATAAATGGGTACAAATACACTGATATATTTATCTGCATGTTAAAAACCAGATGTTAAAGTGCTAACCAAATGGCTTCACTGAAATGTTACAATAGTTAGGCCTGCATAAAAAATAATATAATTGAAAAGATATGTTAGCTACACAGTCAGTTTACTATCATTTTCTACTTGTTTTTTTTTTAATATTTGATTTGAGTTACCAAGACTTGTTGACTATTTTTAAGAAAGGAAATTTGAATAATTTTCCTCAAATGTGGAGATACGTTAATTCTAATTTGAAATGTAAGCGACAATTAAGAACTTGTACAGAAACAGGAATCACAATCGCCATAATGCATAAACGCAAATGGTTGGCAAAGTCGGCCTTTTTCTAGTCGCCCTATAGAAGGCTACAATGCAATACAAGAACTTTATTGATTCCCAAAGGACAATTCATTTGTCTGGAATCTCATGTAATCTACTATTTTTAAAGGAATTAAACAGTCGGATGGCTGCAGCAAAGTGAGAAGAGCTGTCCACCACCACACCATTGGCTCTTCGGTCTTTCAAGGTGTTGTGAAGTGGATGGTCCATGTTCTTTAGAATAGCCTTCACCTTTCTCAGTGTGCATCTCTCCACCACATCCTCCAGTGACATAGTAGTGGGAGGAACAGTGGACCTGACTACCCAGGGCCCGGGAAGGGAGAGGGGCCCATAAAAACCCAGATTTTTTTTTTGCTCATGTGCCTTGTGCACTGGCATGGATAGGGGCTCACTGACATTAAGAGTGTACAGGGCCCAGAATTTGGTGCTAGCCCCTGCCCAGTGAGTCCAAATTGATTCCAACCACAGAGCTAGTTTATTTTTTAACCAGTTTGTCCAGTAGTCTTGCATCTTTGTGTTTTATACTGCCTCCCCAGCTGGAGCATAAAACAGACCACTAGCCACCATAGACTGATATAACATCAGCAGCATATTACTCCATATGTCTATTGATCTGAGTCTTCTCAGTCAAATGAGGCGTCTCTGTCTCTTTTTTAGATAAAGTCTACGTACTTAGACCAGTCTAAATTATTGTCCAGGTGCACACCTAAATGTTTTTACACTGTGACCAACCTGATGTCCAGACCACATGTTTTTACTGGCTGAAGGGGGGATTTGAATCTGCGGAAATCTATGATCACTTCCTTTGTCTTTGATGTAAAGTATGGAGTACAGAGATTAGTAGTAAAATAGTATTGAGATTATACAGTAAATACTCTGTAGTTCATGAATGTTGTATTGTTGTAATGTGAAGTATTACCGCTTTTACAAGCTTAGAAATTGAATCTCTGCTTTCACTAATAATTTGGTTGATATTCCTCTGAAAAATACTTTTTCTAAAGGGAGGGATCCTGACATCGTGTATCTGTTGTTTACCATAGACTGTAGGCTAAGTCAATGCTGTTTACGCATTATAGATTTGACGGGGCGTCTGCGGTGACGTGACTGTTACGTTACATCATCCTATTGGCTTGGGCACTTCCGGCTTCTTCCTCTTAGACAAGATAAACGAAACGGACGATATACCACTGCTAATACAATGAGTAAGAGATAGTATTCGGATTAGAAATAGGGTACATGTCACTCTATAGTCGCTTAAAGTAATTATTTTAGGGGTTTGTCGCTGTTTTAACGCTCGGGATTAACCGAGGCGCATCGGTTGACAACTACAGTAGATTAGTTTTGCTCGAAGCGGATTGCAGCCATGATGGCGTCAAGCTACAACGCTAAGGAAGAGGACGGACATCACTCGGGAGCTGCGAACCACGGAGGTGCAGGGGCCGTAAAAAGTAAAAAACCAGATAACACAGCCTTCAAACAACAAAGACTACCTGCATGGCAGCCCATCCTGACAGCCGGCACAGTGCTGCCCGCTTTCTTCGTTATCGGTCTCATCTTCATCCCCATCGGCATCGGCCTGTATGTGTCATCGAACAACATCAAAGAGTTCGAGGTAAAGACACAGACACCTTAAACTAACCTCTAAACTAATATTTGCCTACTTAATCGATACTTAATTCTGCATTATTACGTTTAATCGCGGTTACTCACTTCGGGGTGTCAGTGAGCAATGTAAATCTATCATTAGACGGATTCACTGTCACCCTGTTGTGTTCAGAGAGACAAGAGCTCGACAGGGTTTTAACAGCTGTCATTTGACCTTAAGTCAACAGTCAGTATTTGACCATTACAGTCCCGAGGACCAGCAGAGCTCTCATCAGAATAGTCTAAAATTGAAATATGTTATTTCCTCGTTGTTTTCTGTAACCATTCACCTCAAAATGTCAAAACAAATTAGATTTAGATTTCAATCAGCCATAAAATTATGAACACATGAGCAATCCATTGCAATAATCACTAATTGCCTTTTTATATTTCTCTTATTGCAAATGTTCATTTTAATCGAAGTTCTTATTGTTTATTTTATGTTATTTTATTAATTATCTCGGTTCTTAGTCTTTTTCTTAATTCCCTTCACAGATTTTTACTTCTTTTACCCTTTTTTATATTGTGAAGAGCTCTTACTTATCTGTTCATTTAATATTATTTTCTTGTTTTAGTCCATCTGGTCTTACTCTTTCTTTTAACCATTTTTATCTTTATGTCCTGTGTTTCCCAAAGGTAGCTCTTTCCTCATGTAATATCTCGGTGTCAGACCATGTCTCTCTAACAATATATCTTAAATTCTCACACTGTGTGCGTTTGTGTGGGTGTATGTGTGAGTGACTGAGTGAGGGTGTGTGTGTGTCTTTGAGTGTGTGTGGGTCCATGTGTGGGTGGGAGGGTTGGGTTTTATTGTTGTTAATTGTTGTTTTTTGCCTCTGTGAAGCGCTTTGAACTGCATTTTTTGTCTGAAAGGTGCCATAAAAATAAAGTTGAATATGAATCCAACAGAGCACTTCTACCATAAACAATAAGTACTTTAAGTATACTTCCAAATTTTCCATTTTTGTTGATATGAACAGGGTATTATTATGCTTTATAATTATTATTGAAGACCTATTATGGGTAAGAATACCATAAAAAAGTGTTATATTAAAAGTTGTTCCCAGTGTTTTGTCTCCTTTATGAGTAATCATAAAGGGAAGCAAATTAGTAACACTCGTCAGTATAATTCCATTACATCACCGACACCCACTACAACTTTAACAATAACTTTAAGAGCAGTCATCACCTCTCTGACCAAGTCAACAAACACTGAAAATGTGGAAGCTTTGTTCAAGCAAAATCTACGGTAGAGCTATGGTATTGGGTTGCATAAATGCTCAAGTAGTTATAATGTAGTGTATATATGAGAGCAGACAATTTAGAGCCCCAACTAAATGACAATAAAAAACAAAAACTGTAAGATTTAAAACCCATGTGAATTTTTCAAATTAGCTATGAAATGGTCCACCACTGACCATTATGCCTCGTCATGATTCATTTCTACGAATGCTGGAAACCATTGTGAAAGATGGGTGTGAGACCAGATAATTGATGGCACATTGTTTTTATATCAAACCGTATGAAATCTAAATCATCTATGTTTGAAGTGTGTCTTATTTGTTGACTTCTACTTTTTAAAAATCCTTTTGTTCATTTTTAGGTTGATTACACTGGTGTTGACATTTCCAGTCCATGCCACCCCTGTGCCAAGAACTTCAGCTGGAATGCTACAACACCATGTCCCTGTTCTGTGCATTTCACATTGGAGCAGCCATTTGAGGTGAGCACAGACCAAATGAATAATATATGCCCCGCTTTGGAGGTAATGGTGTTGCTTGATGTGTAATAAAAGAAAAAAATAATGTCCACCTGACACCAATAGTCCATTAAGATGCATTCAGAGCTCAAAGAAAAGCACTTAAGGTTTACTTGATCATTGATTGTTCCAGTCTAAAATTGTGCAGCCCATCAGCTGCTAAAAGGCCTTTATTGATTTCTTATATAAAGCTCTCTTCAGGTGCATTTTGTCTCAAACATTTTCTGGATAAGACCAGGTCCTGTCGAAAATGATCATACGGTGTAAGACATCATTGAAATCCTCAGGTGCAAATTAATCTTTGGTGAGACATACCAGCCTTGTTTTAAACATAAAAGAATCCTTGCCTGATACACAGTACCTGCCAGAATATTTAGCTTTGCACAACAGAAACACTCCTTGCTTTTACTGATTGCTTCATGTGTATAACACAATCTTTTCTCTCCTGCAGAGTAATGTCTTCATGTACTATGGCTTGTCCAACTTCTACCAGAACCACAGACGCTATGTGAAATCCAGGGATGACAGTCAACTGAATGGTGACCGCTCTGCTTTGACGGTAATGCTCCTTTTATTTTACATGCAGTTCCATCAGTGCCTTCACCTTTGTTTAACACCGGCTGCTTTTTACAGAACCCCAGCAAAGAATGTGAACCTTACCGTACGAGCGAAGGACTGCCTATTGCTCCCTGTGGGGCTATAGCAAACAGCCTTTTCAATGGTAGGTCTGACATAGTGGTTAACCTTAAACTTTTCTCTATCATTTAACAAAAGCGGGGCTCATGTGGTTGTCACTAATTTGTCGAAACAGTATTGAATACTTTGTTTCTTTGTTTTAGACACTCTGAAGCTGTATTATATTGATTCAAATGGCACCAGAAATGAGATTCCTCTGGTAAAGAAAGGCATTGCATGGTGGACAGACAAGCATGTGAAGTTCAGGAACCCTGGTGGAAACGACAACCTCACTTTAGCGTTCAAAGGTAAATCCGGCAAACGTCAGTAAACCATCTTGAAGCTTTTAACACTGTTGTTGAGTTTCATACATGCTATACGAAACTGGCGTATAACCAGTTTGGTTTTATCTTGTACTTTCTCAGGTACATCTAAGCCAGTGAACTGGAGGAAACCAGTGTATGAGTTGGACCCAAATGATGATGACAACAACGGCTTTACGAACGAGGATTTCATAGTGTGGATGCGCACAGCTGCTTTGCCCACCTTTCGCAAGTTGTATCGCATTATCCAGAAGAAGTCCGGCTCCACTCCTACTCTACCCAGTGGCCAGTACGTCTTGGACATCACTTACAGTATCCTTTTAACAGTTGCCAAAAACTTAGTCACACTGTAAAATTTAACACAGGATTTAGGCAGTTAAGTAGGCTTGTGTGATTTTACAACAATCAGTGCCACAATGTAAATTAGAAACCAGTCTAAGATTGTCTTAAACTGCAGTTTTATGTCGTTGGTTTGAGTCAGATTTGAAACTTGAGGGCCACACAGTCTGGGATGTTCTTATGTGTTCTGGACTGATCATGTTATTTATCGTACTGTTATAAGAATGCTGTGCAGTGAGGATACAGGTGTTCTATCGTGTGGATCTGTGTGTTAATCGTGAAGATTTTTCTGTCTTTTTTTCATCCGTTAACAGTGACCGCAGTCTGAAGTGTAGCTTTCACTGAGGGTACGCTGACCCACTAGAGCGACATCAGACCTTTATGATACAACAATAGTTTCTGGGTCTGCCACTCCACTAATTCACTCCATGATCACCAGCTCCTATTTTCTTCCTGTTCTACATACGAGTCTAGCTATCCCCTTCTCAATACATCATGGGGTTTTGTTAATTTTTTCAGGCTAATGAAAGTGAATGGGGCTTTGTGTTTGTTTTTATACAGAGCAGGAAGGTGAGATCCTGTTTCAAGTGGTCACTGAAGAAGCTTTCAAGGACATTTGATAATGCCAAATGTGAAGGCTTATACTTAGAGCCATTGACTTGTGATGACCCAGGATGCATGTTAATTCCAGGTCTGGATGACCTCTTTGTGAACAACAAATGACCTCATTAACAAGTTAGAGTCTGAACCAATAAAACAAATCAGGTTTAGCAGCTTGCTGTCAAACACTGTTAATGAGTCAGCACTAGTAAACTCACTCTGAACCTCTTTGATTTATATCCTCTAAGGACACTTTTCAAGAAACTTCTCTGGTGTGTGTGGAATACTGCAGAACCTCAACTCTCACTCAAAAGCAAATACAGGTCTTTTTATCTCAGCACATGTTTCAAATAAGAGGGGTCACTATGTTTTACAAAACAGTGTTGTCCAAATATCTCTGCTTGAGGCCCAGATGTTAAAAGTGTGTAGATGCAGACACAAGTTTCCTCCAGTTGTTGGACTTGTGTGAGTGCTCTGTACATCCCTCAGGCTCAGTACACGTCCTCGGCTTTGGCACGGATGGGGAAAAAGGGTTGGACACAGTATGGTTGCCTATGCATAAGCACAGTGCAGTGAAATACCTGATTTTTTTTATGTCACAATGATGTAATGGGCTTTAACACGGTGACTGAGCCTGATCTGAGTGCGCCCAAAGGGAAATATGACTGACAACGATGATATTGCATTGCTTATAAACTTTGAATGGATTCACATGAGAGAGGATTTCACACCTTTGAACCAGACTAGTTTCTGTTTTAATTTTTCTGCTTTGCACATTAAAGTCACAAGATCAATTAATACTCATTTTAAAGGGAACCCCAGTGTATTGTTTTCAACACAAGTCCATCAAATTTTGGTGGCTAAACATACCTTTTGTTTTCTTACAGGTGTATTGTTATCATAGTATCAATGTACTAATCACAGTTGCTTTCTTTTGCTTGTCTTGTCAAAGTGTGTGAAAAAATAATGTGTAAAATCTAAGTCAGGTTTCTGTCCAAGTCGTGTTTTTCTTTAACAGTAAATTATCAGATTATCCTGTGCTCAGTTTTGATGGTCGCAAGAGGATGATCCTGAGCACCATCTCATGGATGGGAGGGAAGAACCCCTTCCTTGGCATTGCATACATCACTGTTGGCTCCATCTGCTTCTTCCTGGGTGTAGTTCTGCTCATCATCCACCACAAATACGACACTCGCAACAACAGCGCAGATATTCCAAACTGAACTGTTCCTGTATAGCATTTTCAGCCTCTGCATGCATGGGTGACCCTAAGAGGTCTGTTTTGGATTGCTTGTTGATTTCAGCGTGAATACACTGGTCTCTGTCGTTGTTTGTGGTGTGTTTGTGTAAGGATGGCAGTTTTACATCAAAAGCTGGGTTTATGAGTAGGGCTACAAAAGAAGGATGTTTAAAATGTCTCTGTGCATACGGCTTCAAGTCAGCTGCTAGGAATGTCATATCCTGACTTCAAACAAATGTTTTTATTTTCTATTTATCTATACATTAAAGAAGTGTCTCCATTTATTTTAGCAGTGCTTTGCTAATGGCTTATCTATTGAAGGATGTACGTATTTTTAATGCAGTTTGTTCCTATTGTGTACTGTAATGTATCCTGCTGAAGAATGTACCATCATATTGACATACCTCTCTGGTCTTCGAGATCACCCTGAATATAATATGGGATGTTCATTGCACGTTTGCTGTTTAATTGGTAAGCAATGGTGTTTGAAGAAGCATTTTATCTTTGCAAAGTTGCAAAGTCTATGTATTTTATCTTTGCATAGATTACTAATGACAAATAGTACCAAAAGTAAGGTCAGCTATCCTCTGGTGTGACTGGTTGTATAAATTGACTGCACCAGTTTCAATCTTTAACAAAATGCTAGTGCAAGATTTATTAATCCCTAAAAAGTCATTGCCCTTTATGGTTCTGATTCTCTTAATCATTGGACTCTGTCCAAAATGTCCCAAACTGATTTGAGCACAAATATTTATTCTTTCATAAGTTTGACTTGTATGTGATTTAGATATGATTTAGATATGTGATTACATTCTTCAATGTCGACCAAATGATATGCACTTTAAAAGTGTCACATTTGTTAGTTTTTCCCTTTTGTTTCACTTTATCCTCTGTTATAATGACTCCTTGATTAATATAAAATAAGTTGACTGTTGAAATTGGAGATTTTTGGGTTTTTTAACGTTTGTAGGGTCCAATTAAACAACTTATTGAATGTATTGGTTTTTTTGTGATTTTTTCCTTTAGTATTACAGTATATCTGAATTGCTAAAACACTAAACCCTAGTGTCTGAATCAAATGCTCAGTGGCCTAAACCCATTGATTAAATCAGTCACACTATTTGGCAAAATCATAAACACTTCACCTGGTCAGACAGTTTGCAAACACATTCTCACTTACCAAGACGTGCGCTGTAATGCACTTGTATTACATAATGGTAAGCACAGGTAGCAAAATTAAATTACATTTGAAGGTGTCACAGCTTAAACACACCTTAAAACCGATCACACTTGTAGCTAATGATGTGAGAAAACCAACATAAACCAGTACCGAAGGGTTGCCTGGCCAGGGAGAATGTGGCCTGTGATGTAGATGAAGTCCTGTAGCCTGACTGAGCACGTACACACGACGCTGAGGCTGAATGATTGGAGATACTTTGAGCACTTGAGTTTGATAATGTGGTTTACACTGTAATGTGCTTCTCATTTGTATTTTTTTTTACTGTATTTTTACCATAAACAGGCACTAAATTCACAAAGGATTAAAAAAATAATAATAATAAATTCTATTAGCCTTATGTGAATAATAATTTCTACGGCTTCATATCCTAAGCATTGTGTCTCCCATTTTTTATGTAGTGTGTAATAACTGCTCAGAAGTGATTTTAACTTTGATTGACTTGGGGTATGATCTGGCAACATTGTTTGGATTTGCAGGAAGAGTCAGAGGTTTGGTGAATGTAGTTTGAAAATTGGATTTTGTGTTTGAAGTTATGAGAAAGCATGATGGATGTCAAAACTAAGATCACAACCGTAAGTAACACTGCTACTTATGTTGTATCGATAATCAAACTTAAAACGACAGTCTATGGTCCATGTGCAATATCCATAGCCTGTATGGCAATATCACTATTAATAACAATGTCACGCGACCGGATGTTACGGTTCCACTGATGGATTGTGGGAAGTCAAAGTTTCAGTGTCCTTGTGCTGTGTCGGCACCTCAACCTCTTCGTTCAACAAAACAAAGTCTGCCAAAATGTACAGACAGCTTATGGTAAGAAAGACGCTAAATAAGAGATTTATTTTGAAATGTCTAAGTTTGGTTCTTATTGTTCTGTATTTTTTTGTTCCTTCTTGTGAACTTTGTTTGGTTTTGAGTGAACTAACGGACCTTGGATAAACTTTCGGACTTACATGAGTTAGACATGAGTCAGACAACACTATAAAGGTGTAAAGGGAAACAAATTTATCTCATTTCAGTGACTTGGACACACTGCTCTTTTTTATTACGCTGTTACAAAATTTTACTGTTCCCGAATCAATTAAGATTCATGGAAGCATCGCTTCAACCAACAAGACAACTTCTATAAAACGAGATTTTATAGACATACAGTATACATTGTCCATATTAAATTCTACTTCTATTTAATCATATACTCAAAGATGAAATCAGTGATTTGACCTCTATATTACAGTTACATATGTCTGCTGTCATACTAACCCTGTCATGCAAATGTATTACACAGACCCGGCCAGCAGATGTCTCCATTTTGACTGAAACGCTTTGAAATAAGAAACTATATTTAGAGCAGTTTCATTATGTGGTCCAGTGGGATGGAGGAAAGATTCAATGAAGTTTTTAAGGCCAAAATCAGTACCATTATAGAAACTTTTCAAACGACGTCTGTTATAAAACACTTTGTCATTTGTCACACTCTCTTGTATCATTTCTCATATTGTTGGTACTCAACTCAACTTTATTTGTAAAGCACTTTAAAACAACCAAAGCTGAAAAAAGTGCTGTACATAAATAGACAAAACAACGCAGACATAAAAAAAATCAAAAAACAGTTAAAACAATGTATAAAATAAAAGCGGATATTAAAAAAAAACTTATAAAAACTAATAAAAAAAAAAGAAGAAGAAACAAATAACTAAAAACAAACCATAAAACACTAAAACAGGAGCCGAGTCTCATGCAGGGTTGAAAGCCAATGAATAAAAATGGGTTTTAAGACGAGTTTTAAAAATGGACAGTGTTGGGGCTTGTCTGATTTGGAGGGGTAGGTAAAAAAGAGTCATCCCCTCTGAGCTTCAGTTTGGACCTTGGTACCTCCAGGAGCAGCTGATCAGCTGACCTGAGGCACCGAGCAGGGGTGTAGGGGTGGAGAAGCTCAGAGAGGTAAGATGGAGCCAGACCATTTAAAGATTTAAAAACAAAAAAAAGAATCTCAAAATGAACTCTAAAATGCACAAGTAGCCAGTGGAGGGAGGCCAGGATGGGAGTTATGTGCTCCCTTTTACGTACTCCAGTTAAGAGGTAGTAGTGGTAGAGGAAGTAAGGTGTCATTGTCATTGGTGTTTTTTTTTTCTTTTGTTATCAAATATAAAATGTAACTGGCTGTACCATATAATCCTCAGTCAATTATTGTTCTCACCAGGGGCTTCAGCGGCTGTCCAGGCGGACTTTCTCCAGCAGTGCTCGCAGACAGATAGATAACACTGTGAAAGACAAACAAAAACTTTTTCAGGTGGGGTGAATCTATTGAAAAACACAGCATATAGTCTCTTGAGTTACAGGTCTTTTATTGCAGTGTGACTCTTGATTTCTGATGCTTGTCATAACAAGTACGAGGGAGAGTTTTTCCTGAACATAAGTGTGATTTATACATATTTATTTACACAAAACAGTGTACTTTACTGTGGAGGTATTGTAATATCAAGATTTGAAAAACTTTGATGTAAATTTTGAAAAGTATTGTAATAAGTGGGAACCTTTTTTTAAAGTAGTTATATGCCTGCTTGAGTTGTGTTTCTTTGAACTTTGTTTTCTTTCATCTGTGTTTCAAGTGCACAGAGAATGAGACCTTTCTGTACAGATAATGATAATGTTAAAGTTTCTACTCTGTTCCCAGGTTCTGCAGACAGAATCTAATTATATCCTCTTTGTAGCCTGACAGATAAGTATGAGTGGGTTTCTCTATAACTGTACAATGATATTCGGCTGTAGTTGAAACTGGAATTACACTAATAATGCTTGCAAGCAGCTAATTAAAAACCCATTGCAAAAACAAAGTTCCAATGTGGTGGGCTTTGCTGATCCCGGCATAGCGCAAGAAATTGCTGCAGCTAAATTAGATAGATGGCCTACCCATGCCTCATAGTCAAAGAGCAAGCACTGCTTCATTGCGTAGTGTCCTTATGCCACCCCCTAAGTGCTGTGGTTAAATAGAGATGAGCTTGACAAAAAAATGGAATACCAGAGAAAGTCCTAAACAGAAATATAGAAATGTATAGGTCCCTTGCACTCATTAGAACTTTATTTTTTTTTCCACAAATTGAACAGGAGGACAATGGTATACCTATTCATCTGAAGGGCGGGACGAAGGACGCCGTGCTCTTCAGAACCACGATGATGCTCACTGCGTTTGGTAAGCCAGCATTTGTCTGAGATTTGATGAGTCAGGAGAACTACAGATGTCTCTGTCTGTGTTTCTGAAAAAGAAACATTTCATACCAGTGACTTGACCATAGATGTTATTACTGAAACTCTCATTGAAAGTTGAATAACTGTAATTTCACAACGCATCATCGAGGGTTGTTTGAAGTCATGACAATTAGCCTGTGTTGTATCTCAGTCACATCTGTAGTGCTTGTTTGATCTCTTTGCAGGGAGTGGATATGTTGTGTATGAGCTGTTCACTGCTGCGATGCCCAAGAAACCACAGTGAAACAGCATCAACAAAGTGGATTATACAATGTGGTGCAACAAGCTCACATTAGCTGTATGTATGACCTGACCTCATGTGCAGACAAGGAATTATTTGTCCTATCAAGATCATTATTTTTGATTGTATAAAAGTTAATATTTATCAACTTTGTAAAAATAAAAACTACAACTCTATGAATTGTGTGATTTTGAAAACTCAAAATGGACTGAATGAACATGTATTTATAGCTGCTGTAAGTCGTTGGTGTCACCGCTAGGGGGCACCAATAACTAATCCATCAGAAGAGCTGTAATTGCAGCAGAGTGAAAGTGGACTTTAACGAAAACATTTTGCTTTTTCTGTGTATAAAATATTGCATCATGATCATGTCTTTTTTTTTATTATTAAAGTCGTCAGTTAAATTGGATTTCATACTTAGACTTATTATATGTATAGAAACGTCTCGGGAAATTCAATGATAGTCAAAGCTAAGTGACTAAAGTTTGTGGAGCCCGAAGACTCACTTTTATTCCGTTTGACAGTTAACTTAATACATAGGCTAAAATTGCCCTTATACGATACTTCCTTTCCCAGTGTTTTCTGACCAACTGGTACTCTGCTGTTGAGTCCTATTGGCACCGGAAAGTCATTAAAATCACCACACCAAAGGAATGCAGGCAAAAATGTAATTTCCAAACATTAGATCGGTCTTAGCGGGGGACATGCATCAACTGACGCGCACAAGTTTCGTAAGAGGCAAAACTGATGGTAAACTGAGAGTTGGGACCTGCCCCCCTATTAAGTAGCCGATGGTGGAAAGATTCTTCCCACTTGGAAAGAGGCTTTTCCTTCTTGGACATCTGCTGGTGGAGCTTCCAGTAGCCAGAGAGAGGAGAGAGGGGTCCTTTCGCAGCTCCTGAAACTTTTCTCTCACTTTCCTGAGGGGGAGGCTTCCAGCAGGCTGCTCGCACATTTGGTCGGTTGACTTTCTGGGGGGTTGAATAGGTAAGTACACTGACTTTCATTTATTAGTAGCTCAGCCTTTTAGACCAGAAAGAAAAAAAAATCATTCATTTTTTTTACAATCTTACCCAAATAGCCTTTTTCTTTTTTTGCGTTAAACCTTTAATGGATAGACTTTCACAAAAGAAAAGATTAACCCAAACAAAAGAAGTCAAACAATCTTTAAAACTCATTGTTGATTTTTTTCTTTTTAGGGAGTAAATTATTTTTCAGATTTTGGATGCTCAGTCACTACATCAAATTGGATTTTAAACTTTTTTTTTTTAATCTGAAAGTAATCCTTAGTAGTTGTCAGATTTAACCAAGCATGGCTGTATAGCTTTCGAGCGCTACTAAATGAATTCCGTAATTTCTAACTTTTCGGTTGAATTAGGTCGGTTTTTTCAGCAGGGACTGCAGTTTGAGTGCTCATGCACCAGGCGGGGTACACTGCTCATGGTAAAGAGCTCAGAAACTCGAAACATACTACTGGATGAATGTATTGTGCTTGTGCTCTGGTCAGAAAGTGTCAGCCTTGAATATTTAATCCTAAATGATGATTTTGTTATAGCAATCATTTGAAGTACAATCTTTGTATAAGGGTTAGAAGTCCCTCGCTGATGCCTGTAATGTAAAATAACTTACAAAGAAACGTGATCCAGAAATTGGGGAGGCAATTGATTTGAATCTTTTTTACGCTCAGATACAAAAATCTGTTATTTGTGTTGAGAAAATCAGAGATCTAAGTGGGCATAAAGATTTTAAATGTACAATAATGAATTTAAAAATCATGAACAAAATAGTGATAATTTCTGCTGGCTATAAGATGTCACTCAGACCTAATATCTGCAAGGTTGACATAAGTGAAACCTTAGATTGGGTTATGATGCATCTATGAGGTAGTAAGCTACAACATTTACTGGACAGCTATGGGGTTAACATTATCTAAAAATCAAAAATTGAGTTTGTTCTGTGGGTTTGTGTTTTTTTGCAACCCATTAATACATAGATATAGCATACTCAAACTAATTACCGCCTGAGGGTATGGGTGTGAGCTGGAAGATGCAAGGTGTGGCACTTCTTGTGTAAGGCAGTCTAGATGGGTCTTGCAGTTTCAGCCCTGATGGAAAGTTATGATTAAAAATAATAGTGTAATAACTATTAAGTCCATTAAGAAACTCTTTAGCAGGGTAATTGGTTCACGAGTTATTAATTATGTGGTTCTGGCTGAAGGCAAACTGGCTGTTTTTTGGCATTCTGAATCGGTCTTTGTTGACACAGCAATAAATGAGACATATATGTTTCCCCAGTGACGAGTCTGACCATTCAAACAAAGTGAACTGTGTCATAGATCTGGAGCTTCAGCACATTTTATCTTTCTGTCCTCAGACCAGTTAATGCGCTGCTGACCCTCAAAGGCCAAAGATGAAGATAGGGCTGTCACTGGCCACGGCTGCCTTGCTTGCAGCCTTGTTATCCTTCGTAGATGCTCAAGGTAAATGAAACCATCTGGCTTCAGTACACATACGTATACTATTCCACCCTGTCTCTTTATCTTCTGCTTCTTTTCTTTCTCCTGTTAATCTCCACTGGTTGTTTTTGTGACAGGGATACGCCTGTTATTAATCTAAGAGAGTCATTGAATAGATACTGAACCCTTTGTATTGATAATCTGAATAAAGTTATCTTATTTCATGTGTATGCTATTTAATTACGTGAATTGTGCTCTCATGAATGATTCCTCTATTATAGGCATTCTTTTATAATCCATTTGTAGTCTATTTTGCCAGATTTATCTGTCAGGACTCATTACAGGCTTTGATGTGAAATCCAAATCCTGATTGAATTTACTCGTATTAGGCTGTAATTTAGATGTTTTATACCAAATACTCAAGAAGCAATTTTCTCATTTCGATTTGGCAACTAAGAACAGTCAAACTCATTTTGTTTCATATCCATAATTATGTGCATTGAACTGCACAGCATAGAGTGGAACAAAAGTCATTTTATGGCTTAATGTTCCCTCATAAATGTTTGTGCAGGGCTGTTTCTGTTTCAGGTTTATGACAGCAAGTCTGCACTTTTCCGAAGCAAAATTTGGAACAATGCCAAGTCCTTACTAATTAGCCACTGAAACGCTACAGCACATATTTTTGAGTTATTATGATTATGCTGAGGTTGTAGTAGGAAATTGTTAACCTGTGTAAATCTCTCTGCAGTGGTTTTTAGTGTTTGCAGTGGCGCAGTGTTTTGAGTCATTGAATTACTCATGCAACAAAAGTCAGTGCACGAGTGGAAATTGAATCTAGTAATGAAACACATACACAAATTTAAACTACATGCAGTTTGGAAAAAGTATAACTCATTGCAATGTAAAAATCAAAAGATAAAGTAACTGTTCAGAAAATGTGCCTTTATTACAGTCAGATGGTAAGACTGAAAATGCAGTATCCATGGACTTACTTTGACTTTCATGCCTCAATTTTGTGCTCATATATTATGTTTAAGGAGCTGTTTAATACGATTGCAATACATGCCATAAGAACTAACGTGTCATAGACTGTTAACAATCTGTCAGTAAATTTGACATAAAATAACTCAAAGTTATTCCTTATGCAAACATTTCAGTCCAATAAAATGGCAAATATGGAAATATGGTATGGAAACCTTCCTGATTTTTCCTTCTAAAAGTTCTCTGGCGGGCGGAGAGGAGTCTAATGTCTACCCTCACATATCTTCACTAAGGGAATGGAAAGATGAAATACGAGAATAGCAAATTAATCCTCAGACAGCACAAAGACAAAGAGTCTTTCTAGGGCTTCTTTGCGGGCTTTTGCAAAAACGCTGAATTGCAGTACATATGGAAAGTTAATATGCAGTGGTGTTTAATGTCAGCACATGTTGTGGAATTACTTTGGCATCTGTCCTGCCTTTTTGGGAGAGTCGGTGTTCTTTCCTCCTCCTCTTGGTCTCTCCTCCTGGCAGTGGCTCTGGCCAGGATAACTGGCTGGCTGGTGCGCTGGCTTCACACTGAGGTTACTAACAGAACAGTAGCCAGACTCTGGCCAGAGAGCCAGAGGGGTCCTTTATTAGGAACTGATGGGACAGACGTCCACATGACAAGAGCAACCACAGGGTCCACAAGGTCCATCAACACACCAGGGATTATTTTGACAAAACCACATTTGCTGCTCTGATGTATTTAGAACCTGGAGGACATATGTTCCAAGAAGTCATCATATATGGAGGCGTTCAGACTATCTTGCACAGTTGTGGGTTTTTCTAATCAAAAATGTCAGTGCAAACATCCATCGCTTTGCTACTTGCAACTCTTCAGCTTACTCTTGCACATCTCCCACACCTACACATCCACACACACACATTTACATACCATTTTGATGTTGGAGATGAGTACTCGTGGAAATCAGGGAGAACGCTGTCCATCCAGGCTCCTTGAATTGATACGCCAGGTTGGTGATCCTCCAATCCCAGTTTTTAACTATCGGGTGGGCTCCTGTTTGTCATCTGCCTGTGCACTCAGTGTGTCCCAAGCTCTGGCTTCCTCCATGAAGAATATTTTACAATGATATTCTTGCCTCCCATGGCACTCAATAGCTAACTTGCACCAATGTTGCATCAGTCTTTGTTTTGTCTAATGCATGCTCACGTACATGACCATATATCATTCTTCACAAGTTTGTACTGGTAAAGCTGTGAATATATTCGGGCCTAATCTATTTGATTGAGTTTGTTCATGCTAACCAAGTTAACAGCCTAAGTTTAAAAAGAAAAAAAAAAAAAACATCTAATCTTGTCTCATGTCTCTCAGTTGTTCATCATGTCACTAAGTAGAATGTCTGTTATGTAACACTAATTTCCTCTATCTTAATATAATTGTCTCTGCCAAGTTGCATGAAACTTAATAATTTTGATTTAAGTGATTGAATTTACTGTAATGGATCAGAAACTAACCACATGAAAACTGACAATAATGGTCAAGTATTACTTTGCTATAAGGTAATTTTAGACTTCTGGTTTGAGCTGCTCTGAAATTGGATGAGACTTCAATGCATGTTAAGAATGCACTCTAAATATTAACACACTTCCTCGAAGGAAATATGGCCACCACTGGTGGCATATAGAAAGAATATCATTATAAAATATGTTTGTCATCTCTGTCTGTGTGGTCCCAACTGTACATGGAAACTACCGTCAAATCAGTCAAAGTTGTTGAGCCAAACAACTTTCTTCATGTACATGATGCATGATGCTGTGATCAAGTCAGTCAAGATGTAAAAGTGCGTGGTCTTGTCACACTGTATGTGTTTTTCTGTGTTTATTTTTATGTACACACTGTCTTCATTATGGTTTATTTGAACAGTCTTCTCAGTGTCAACAGTAATTTTGTTCTTTCATTTTTTATGCATTGTGCTGCCGATGAAAAAGTACACAAGGGTCTCTGGCGACGAATTGTGTATTCTTTTTAAAAGGTTTGCAATGGATGTATGCCACTCACTTGGATAAAGAGTTTTAAACCAATAAATACCAAACCAGTTTTTGTGTTTGAAATATGTTTATATACAATGTATATATAACATATGGTTCAATTCTGTAACATTTACTCGACTAGTCCCACGGCAACCTTGATTCCATTGTATAATCAGTAATTTGTGAATGAAGTCAGGTTGTATTTTGTTATGCTGAGATAAACTCCATCATTAAAGCAGCATAATATGTGGTCAGAGCATGCATTAGACAGACTGCACTCAGCATGTGTTGGATGGTTCACTTAATGTTTGCACTTAGAGAGTTTGTGTGGAGTCGTGCACATGTTGTGTATGCCAGTGCTTGAGTTTGCTGGCCGTGTAGGTTGAGCAACTCAAACAAACGCCATTTTACTCCAAAATGGCTCTTTACACTTTTTAAGTGTTGTCACGTGTTCTTTAACTGTTACCCTCACGAATGGACGTCAGTGCTACATGTCTGTCCCCAACAACAAACAAGTCCACTTCAGTCATGAAGTGTTTGTCGTTGGGATCAATGTGAATGCTTGATTAGAAGTACTTTGCTTTGATCACAATTATGTACATATTTATACATACTGTGTTTGTATTTGATGTGATTAACAGCTTATTCCATCTTATTTACAGTGGAGCCACCCTCAGGCTTGAAATTTAAAATAATAAATGAGAACACAGTGGACATGTCATGGACGAGACCCTCAACAAGGATAGAGGGCTTCAGAATACAAATTGTATCAGAAGCAGGTATGTCAGTATGGCGTTTTCACCAACACTTTTTAGACATGTAGACTCTCACAACAGTTTGCTCACTGCTATTATCTCTATAGAGGAACCGGCTAGAGACTTTACCCTGGATGCATATGCTACCACAACCTCAATCACTAACCTGACTCCTGACTTGGACTACTCAGTCTATATCAACTCATTTGTTGGGACAGAGGAGAGCATTCCCATCTTTGGACAACTCACCAGTAAGTTTATCCTTACAATTTTCCCATTTGTTGTGTAGTATTAGAGACAGATTATGACTGAGGTTTTTTTTTGCACGCTTGTGAACACTGTCTCCTGCTCAAACACTGAGATAAGCTTCGACCAAAAGTGATATTTCACTTTGATGAGAGTATACTTGTTCCATGAAACACTTCACCCAGCCATGATTCATAGTAGTAAGAAATCACATCTGTGTTTACTGACTGTTAAATTTCTTACAGTTAAAAGCTAATGCAGCATAAAAAATATGTGTTTGTGTGCATGTGGTTTTGATCCTGTCCAGCTTTTATGATGTGTTGATTCACTTGTCTTTTTCCACTGTGAAAAAAGCAGGGGCGGCAGTGCACGGTACTAACTCACCAAGTGTTTCCTGTGTTTCAGTTCAGTCCAGTAACACCAGTGAACGAGTCAGGAGGCCACAGTCAGATGCAATCAGTGAGTATGTTTACCCTAGTGTCAACCAAAATCTGTACAGGGCCTGTCCTCCACACTATTTTCCATTTTTTAAAATTCAAATTTTCCCTTCATGGCTGTCATCATGTTTTTCCTCTTTATGGAATATTTTGGTCAGGCTTGCATTTTACTTTCTGTCTGAGTTGTCACTGGTTAAAGTAGACAGAGATCTGACAGTAACTGGTGGAGCACACATAGGTTATACTCTAATTGAAACCAGTTGGCTCATTAAGAAAAAAGGAAAAGGAAGGCTTAAGGCTAGGAGACATGAGTTCTGCCAAGCTTCATAGAGGAGAGGAAAGGAAAAGGGAAAGGAATTACATCTTAATGTATCCCTAAGAAACAAGTACTGTCTGCTAAACTGTTAGAGATGCTGCTGGGTTTACAGGTATTCATCTGTCAACTGGCAATGCCACAAAATTAATTCATGTGGATCTATAGGAGGATTACATTTCCTCCCGCTTGTTGAATACTACAGGACTTCATACACTTAGCTCTAGACTCCCCTGGACCTGTACTGATGGTTGTGCTCCCATAGGCTACTTCACAACCACCCTAAATGCTTTCCAAGCAGTCACTTCCAACATTAGATCAGGACATTTTAACAGAAAGTGGATGCCCTTTCAAGAACAAAATTAAGAGTCAACACCAAGGGGAATAAAGATTAAAGTCCACTTACATCAGTCCTGCCAATTATTTCAATAGAGTCATCACAAGTGTTCCAGAGAATTTCACCAGTGACTTAAAACCCCTTTTGATGTCAGAGTAAACAAGTGACAAATGCTGGTGAAACCGCTGCTAACTGTTTAGTCTGTGGAGCCACATTTTTACCCTTTGTGATGACTATACCAGTCCTCTGTTTGGCACTGGCTGATATTTCCTTTGATGTCAGAGCACATATCTCTGAGACAGCCAACTAAATGTCAAGGAGTAGAATTTATTTAGACTGACAAGAGGGGAAAAGGCCACTATAAAGATTTTGTTGCTGCTGCTGCTGCCATACCTACCTTACTGGCACACTTCTGGCTCGAACAGTGGTTACTTTGAGACATGGTTTTCATCATTCAAAATGTTTACATTAATCTTTTGCTGGCTAAACCATTACAAATCAGATAAGTTAAAATAAGTAATAAAGCCGTCTTTAAACTTTCTGACAGACTAACTCCTAATCCTCCGCCATCTTTCTGCAGAGTGTTCCGTCAGTGCAATAGCAGATTTGGTCTTTTTGGTGGACGGGTCATGGAGTGTGGGCAGAGAGAACTTCAAGCACATCCGTAGCTTCATTGGAGCGATGGCAGGGGCCTTTGACATTGGCGAGGAGAAGACCCGGGTGGCTGTGGTTCAGTACAGTACAGACACCCGCACAGAGTTCCCCCTCACCCGTTTCAACAGAAGAGGAGAGCTGCTGAAAGCCATCAGCTCCCTGCCGTACAAGGGGGGAAATACTATGACAGGTAAGGGGCTTACAGACATGGATAAGTGTTCATTTCTAGTTTTATTCTCTGCTGTCATACTGCCAGTAAGGCTTTGCAATAAAAGTGATTCTAATTGTACATTTAATGTGGAGATATTAATCATGTCAAGTTGTTTAACCGTAGAGTGGTGTTAGTACAGCAAATCTTTAAAAACACATGTACATTTTTGTTTTAAGGTGATGCCATAGACTACCTGCTGAAAAACATCTTTACGGAGGCAGCTGGATCCAGGAAAGCTTTTCCTAAGGTAGCCATGATTATCACTGATGGAAAATCCCAGGACCCTGTGGAGGAGTACTCTAAAAGGCTTAGGAACATCGGAGTGGAAATATTTGTTCTAGGTATGGTTTATTATTCAGTTTTCTGTTGAATAAGCTCTCCCATGTGAAAGTCTGCCTGTTCCTGGAAATCATTGGATTTTCCATCGATTGTAATATCCATATTTGACTCGATAAAAGTCAAGTACCATTATTTTTTTCTAACCCACACACTGCTTTAAAACTGTCAGCAGTCTAGCACATCTGTCATGCAGCCGCTTAGTAAAGAAAGTCTTTGTCTAATGGTTTTGAAATTCACATTTTCCCACGTAGGTATCAAAGGAGCAGATGAGGAGGAGTTGAGGGAAATGGCCTCCCCACCGTACAACAAACATGTGTACAATGTTGCCAACTTTGACATGATCCAAGAGGTGCAGAAAAAGATCATCACAGAGGTGTGCTCTGGTGTTGATGAGCAGCTCAGTGTTCTGGTCAGCGGAGAGGAAAGTAAGTCAAAAACCTAAAAAGATTTATTAAACTTAATTTGTTTCAAAGACTTAATTTTTTAAAAGTATGGCCATTGATTGTTTGCAGCTCAACAAACATTTGGATGCAGTTTACATCTTGATACTCATATTGGCACATTTCTTTGAATTTTCCATAGTGGTGGAGCCAGCCTCTAACTTGCAGGTCACAGAAATTGCATCCAAGTCCATGAGAGTGACATGGGACCCCTCCCCAGGTGATATTACAGGCTACAAAGTCACCCTTGTCCCCATGCTACCTGGAATGAAACGACAAGAGTTGTACATGGGGCCCACTCAGACATCCATCAATATCCGGGATCTCTCCCCTGAGACCGAGTATGAGATCAGCCTGTCCGCCCTCAAAGGTTTGACTCCCAGTGAACCCATCATGGCAATGGAGAAGACCCAACCTGTCAAGGTGTCAACAGGTAAGAAGATTGTTTCCGCATGGTAGCATACATATATATCTTTAGATGCGTCTTTTTCCCATCATGGATGACAATCAAAGCCATTAACTGAACCATCATGTCTTGTCTTTTTAAAGAGTGCTCTTTGGGAGTGGATGTACAGGCGGATGTGGTCCTTCTGGTTGACGGCTCATACAGTATTGGATTACAAAACTTTGCCAAAGTCCGTGCCTTCTTGGAGGTTCTGGTTAATTCTTTTGATGTTGGACCAGGCAAAGTCCAACTCAGCTTAGTCCAGTACAGTCGGGATCCACACACTGAGTTTGCCCTCAACACCCACCATGACATTAATGCTGTTGTCAAAGCTGTGCGTACCTTTCCCTACCGTGGAGGGTCAACTAACACTGGTAGAGCCATGACCTATGTGAGAGAGAAGATCTTTATCCCCTCCCGTGGAGCAAGACAGAATGTTCCTCGCGTCATGGTCCTGATTACAGATGGAAAGTCATCCGACTCCTTCAAAGATGCAGCAACCAATCTTAGGAATATTGATGTGGAGATCTTCGCTGTTGGCGTGAAGGACGCAGTGAGGTCAGAACTGGAAGCCATTGCTAATCCCCCATCAGAAAACCATGTCTTTGAGGTAGAGGACTTTGATGCCTTCCAGAGGATCTCTAAAGAGCTGACTCAGTCCATCTGTCTGAGGATTGAACAGGAGCTGCTGAACATCAAAAAGAGGAGTGAGTACGATGATAGAATAAATTAATCTAGTGACTAGAACCTGGATCTAGTCACCAATGACTCAGAGGCAGCAGTTATTGATGTGTAGCATTTGCTAAGCTGAACTTGTATATTAGAGTTCTATTTGATGGAAAAGAGCTTGTGCAGTTATGAATAAGTGTAGATAGATATTATAGTGCTGTGGAAAATGAAGAGCAAAAAAGGCAAGGTGTAGACAAAACCAAATTAAGCCACACAACTATAGCCTGTGAATTAAACATACCCAAGAACCCAATGCACTCAGCCCATATGTTATTACTCACAGTCTGAAAACCCCACTGTCTGGGACGGTATCAACAGTTCTGTTATGAATGGCTATAAGCGCCAAGTTGTGGCTGTTCCAACCAGTGGTGGAATGATTACCCTAAATAATATGAGGAATGATAGTGAAGCTTCTAGTCCCAAAACAAACACTTCTTATTCAGCACATCCTTTGTTACTCAGTTTTTTGGCTGGACAAAGTTACAACAATGTGTTGTTCTTAAGCCTGCCAGTATGGAAGTCAAAGTCCATGGACAAGACAATGGGCAGGGAGAAGGAGGAATAAAACATAGCTGTAACCACAAAAACCTCAGATTCAGAACAAAATGAGCCCATGATAGTTTTATTTTACAAACGACCATAATTGAGGCTTTCGTGCTTCCTTCATATGACATCAGTTCTCAACAAAGAATCCTTTATTTTCAGGTCTGCTTCCTCCCACTGACTTGAGGTTCTCAGAGATCACCTCAAGAAGCTTCCGTACCACCTGGATACCGCCTACTGCTAATGCCTTGTCCTACCTGGTGCGTTTCCGCAAGGCTGAAGATGTAACTGGAGACTACATTACCCTGGCAGTGCCCGGTGATACCACAACAGCTGTTCTGCTTCGACTAACCCCCCTCACCCCCTATGAGGTCAACGTGTTTGCTCAGTATGACAAAGGAGACAGTTTCCCTTTGACCGGTGAAGAGACCACCCTAGAAGGTGAGAGACATTTGCTCTGAATAGACCCAAAGCTTTGATTGTCATTAAAGCAAGAATGTGTTGAATATAAATTCTTTTACTTTTTCAGAACAAGGGGCTGTTCGAAACCTTCGAGTTACAGAAGAGACAACTGATAGTTTCAGGGTGTCATGGGAAGCTGCTCCAGGTGCGGTGATAAGATATCGCCTGTCCTATATCCCACTAAGTGGTGGAGGGGAAAATCTTGAGGCCCAAACCATCGGACCAGAGACTACTATAGTTCTCCAGGAGCTCTTCCCCCTGACCACGTACAGGGTGTCTGTGTCTGCTGAGTACGCCACTGGCATGGGGGATGACATGCAAACAGATGGCACCACTAAGGAAGGTAAGCTAGGAAAACACGCTTTCAGGAATATTTTGAAACCTAATTGTTTATGCATCTGATATGAATAAGTGATGCATTTTTTTGTACTTTCAGTCCGTGGCTCTCCTCGGGACCTCCGCGTCTTTAATGAGACTATATCCACAATGAAACTGGCATGGCAGGCTGCTCCAGGAAATGTCCTTCAGTACCGTATTTCCTACAAACCTGCAGCGGGTGGTGAGGGACAGGAGATATCTGTCAAAGGAGATACAACCCAGGCTCTGCTGAAGAAGCTCCAACCAGCTACTGAATATGAACTCTTTGTCAGTGCTCGCTACACTTCTGGTGTGGGGGATCCTCTTGTGGGCACAGGAACCACCTTGGAAGGTAGGATGATATTTTATTGATACTGTCTGATGTTTTGATGCTGTAGGCTCAACAGCGGCTATCACAAACATTCAAAGTAAATGATGTGTGCAGCTCCTTTTAGACTTACTTCAAAGATTTATGTTTTCTTATTGTTTTTTTGTCATTTGGTTTATTAGATTGTACTTGATGTGAAACTACTCAAATTGGGTCAATTGTCTCCCCTCAAGTTTCTGTGAGAGTGTGGCATTCATTTTTTTCTCACTTATGATCACATCAGAGTTAAGGGAGTTAAGGTTTTGCTTTTTAAGGTTGGCTGGTTAAATGGGCTTTGGTCACAGAGAGAGGACAGGAATGTACCACTTGTTACAGTTCCTTTGGCACTGAGTGTATGTAAGGTTGGTTTTGCCGCCCTGAAGGCAGCTGAGATGGAAATGGGTGGGGGGTGCTTGTAAACCTTGGGAACTTATGAAATGGCTTGGAACAGACTTGACAAAGTCATTCTTTACATTTTGGCCTTTCTGAGACTTAGAGTTTCATATGTTGCAGTGTTTTTTTTTTAAACATTTTTGCGTATTTCACCTTTAAAATGTATCAAAAACTTGGAATTGGTCATAAGTGACCTGGTCAGGCTCAACATACACTTTACACCCAGTGTAAGTGCAGATCTGTGGATGGTGCAAAGTTGTGTTGAGATTGTTGTGGCGACAAACCACAGAAAAAAAAAAGTCAAAGAGCTCTATTGAGAGAGAAAAGGGGAGGTCTTGCCCTTGGGGTCTAGAGATCCCACAGGGGACTATATCTGGCTCCTATTCAGTTCCGCTTTTGGCTGTAAAACCAGGAAACTAAATATGAGACGCCTTGCTGAGCATTACAGAAGGAAGTTTATTTTACTGGTTGCAATGGTCTTTAGTAGCCTTGGCTGTTAATTACAATGATGATTGTTTGATTTATGTGCGTCTACTCAAAAAACATTGGGAAAATTGGTTAGCCTAAGTTCAGTTACTGTTGTGGTCATGAGATCATGAGAGAGTAGAAATGCTTAAAGAGTTTTTGGTGCCCAGATGAAGGCAGAACATCGGAGTTTTAGGCCATGGACACCTCAAAGCGTGTTATTTATCATAAGACCTGTGTAGGAGTTCTTGTTTCTTATAGTAGTCTTCTTGTGGTGTCAGGTGTTTATTGAAGGTCACACATGTACCACACAGACCATGTTTTAAGAAATACTTTGGCTCATGAGCAATATAGACATCATAATTTTTTAATTTTGATGAGAGTTGCTTTTTTCCCCACATTTTTTATATACCTATTTATTTCTCTGTTCCCACGCTGACCAAAGGGCTTGTTGTGGTCTTAGAATTTGTTTCCACATGTCAAATCTGTGCTGTCATCAACCATCCACCCCCACAGGAAAAAAGCTCCATGACAAAGCACTTTGTTTAGCTAGCTCCATTAAGCTGTCATGACGTCAGCATGCTTCGACACTGATCTCATTGTTTAGAGTGTCACTCATTTTGAGTGACCCTCTTATGTGAAGTCCATGTAGGCGAGAACTGGAAGAGAGTGGCTCACACAAAGCCCTCCCTTGTGGCCAATGGTGAATGGTAGCCAATACAGAAGCCTTGAATAGGACAGAATTATAACATCCTGAAGTGACTCAGAAGAGGAAAGAAAGGTGTCATAGCAAATGCTTAGATGGACGTCGCACATGTGGAAATTATAAACAAACACAGAAAAATCATTTTCATCAGGATACAGAGTTTTATCCAACACGTGGAAGAAGTTACCTTAGAGGACCTTGAAAGCTGTCTGTCTGGTCACAGTGAAAACTGTTGGTTCATCTCCCTTAAGGGTGGGGCAAAGGACAGGCAGAGGCAAAAAAGAGAGCAAAGTCGGGTAAATAAAGGGTACTTCAGAGATTATGTGAACAATGCTTCAGGGTGGCCAAGTGAATAAAAACCCCCGCCTATAACCAAGAGGTCAAATATTCAACCCCCTGAAGCAGCCATTGTACCAAATTCTCAAATAATTAACCTCTTACATAACTCAGAAAATGTTTCGTCCTGTGCCCCAAGGTCTTTTTTTAATCTCTTACTTGGATAGCAGACATTACCAGGTAAACTTGCAGCATCTTGGTTTCTTTTTTCATCTACCAGTCCAGGCTCCTTCATTTGTACTCCTAGACAGTCCTTCCTGTCACTCCAGAGGTCCTTTGAGGTAAAAGGCAAGCAAAAGCAAGGCAGGAGACAAGCAACCCTGGCACATAAACACTGACAGCTTTATCTTTGTAGCTCAGATGTATGCCAGAGTGAACCAAAAGCAATAAAGTAAGGAAGTTTACCATCTAGTGCCAGTGCTGAGATGGCACTTTGTAGTAATGATGTATTTCCTGCAGTCGTTTTGGAGTTTATTGAGAAAGCAAAAATTTGCAAATCAGAGCTTAGTTTAATCTTTAAACTGAGTTTCTGTGTGCTTGACAACCAAATCCAAGACTACGAATCAATACATCAAGAGATGGTGGCTTAATAGAGTGAGAATCGACAGCCTTAGAAAACCATTATGATTATTTTCACAGCACGAGCTTGTTGTGTTTCAAGAACATTTCTACTGCCTGCAGGCATTTTTCTGAGAGGTGCAGCCTTTATATTCTCAGGCTTTAGACATCTTTGGCTGCAGATGTGAAGCTTATGCCAGCACATGGCCCAAAGCAAATCTCTCAGATGATCTTCAGTTATGTCACATGTGGTTTTCTGGAAAAGAGGGAGAGGCTGAGAATTTGTGATCTGGTCTTGTAAAAGATTTTAATTTTAGAGTACACTTCTTCTTGAAGGCTGAGAAGCAGTTGAGGAGCTGAGAGGGATATTCTGAATGTTTTAAGCACCAAATGTTGTCTTTCCTATATTTATATGCATATGTACATTTTAAAGCTTGTGAGATCCCACTCTTGTGATAATTTCAACAGCTGTATCTCACTTTGTTTGTATGATGTTGGATTTATGCATGTGTAACATGCAGACGGACATTTCTGCCAGGCCCGTGGACCATGTGTTTCATGTATGAGTGCTCTGGTCATTTGAGTCGCCTCTTCTCTTTGGCCTGTCTGCAAGAACTGATGAAAATTGAGCCACTGTCTGCAGAAGTCATTATCTTGTGATCCTTTCGTCCTTGGTTCACACACAGCCGGAAAAGTCAGTCAAGGTTATCCTCTGCTTTTTGGCAAACACAGCCCCTTTGACAGATTGATCTGGGTTTTTACAAGTGGCCCACGCTATTTTTATGCTTCTCCAAAACCTGGAACTCTTCATTAGTCAGAGCTTGTGGTCATTACTTCACATATCACACCTCTGTTCTTGAGGTGTGTTTTGTTGTGCTCTGTGGCCATGGCTGCTGTCGTTTAATCTCACTTAGATCAGTTCAGTCTTTTAGTGGGGCAAAAAGGCGTCATTAGTTTACATATAGATACAGTAACCTCTGGTTCTGCTGTATGGTGAATTAGCACTTATCATGGACTGCACTTACGGTGGATATGTGATGCATTTGTGGGAGTTAAATGTGGAAGTTTGTGGAGATAGACCACCCAGCTGCACTTTACTCTCTATAATTATTTTGCCATTAGGTGCTGGCATGCAGGGGCTTAGGGGCTTGAATAAGGATCAGGATCCCGAAGGATGTGTGGGAGGCGCTATGTGGCAGCCTGTCCCTGTGCAGTGCATCCTCTCTATGGCAGATAGACTGGAGTGATGAGAGTCCATCACTTCATGGGCATCCCTCTCAGCCAAGCATGTGCTGGCTGCTGGTCATGAAACACCACCACAAATTCCCTCCACTGTATTTCTTTCCCTTCCTCCCTTCAGATGGTCTCTGGGGAAAAGTGAAAGGAGGAGGGACGAGGGGGAGAGCGCAACATCTGCAATTGTAGAAAACGCACTTTTGTGGCTCAGGTTTCATGTGTTTCTATGGAAAATTAGAGTGCTGCCAGGGGAGGCACTGGGGATGTGTGATTTGTGATTAGTTTTTCGGAGAGTTTTTCCAGTCGTCTCTGATAGTCAATGGAGAATATTAGGATGGCTGAGCACATCCTGAAAAGTTACAAAAAACAAACGTGAAAGATTGTTGGGGACTTTGCGTTGGTTCTTGGTATTGTTGCTTTTGTGTTTGCCTCCTCAAACCTTCCTATAATAGTGTAAGAAATCAACACCATCTGGACAAAATATGTCTGTACTTCAGCACTAACACACCTTGTTCCTGTTATTATGCATCAGAGAAAATCAAAATAAAGAAAATCTGGGGAAATTCTTTGTGTAAACAAAAGCAAGCATGCCATGCTACTTATTTTCAGTCTCCATATCCATTACCTCCACCTTTGTTCCTTACACTGTTGTTTTCATTAATCCACAGAGCTTGGTTCACCTAGAGACTTGGTAACAAGTGATGTCACAGAGAACAGTTTCGCCGTTTCTTGGACAGCAGCCCCGGGTAACGTACGTCAGTACCGGATCAAGTGGAAGTCCCTTTATTCTGACGAGGAGGGAGAAAAGACAATCCCAGGAGACACCACAGCCACGGTTCTGGATGGCCTCACCCCAGAGACACGCTATCAGGTCTCTGTGTTTGCTGCCTATGGCCATGGAGAGGGTCAGCCACTGAATGGAGAGGAAACCACAGATGGTGAGTTACTGTAGCTGCTTAAAATTTTACTCTGCAATCCTGTGCAAAAGATATAAATTCTGTCCTTGTGTTGTATGACCTCTAAGGGACACTGCACTTTTTGTGGGTGTGCAACTCTTGAGAAAACCATCATTAATGCCAAGAATGCAGGCCTAGCTATTCCTGTAATAAACACAAATCAGCCCTTAAAGTTTCAACTGCCCATTAAGTTAGAGAAACAAATTTAGGAGGTCATCACTGAGAAATATGGGCTAGTGATTCAGGCTGGAAACCGATCCAGGAAACACAGTTTAGCTTAAGAATAGAGATCTTCCTTTTTTCGTACATTCTGTTGAGCTAAAATAAAACGTCATTTCTGTTGGTATCCGCCAAGCCACAATAAGAATATAGTCTTTGCGTGCGGATCTTTAAGACTGTTGTATCCGAGGTGACGTAATGTCCGACACACCTGCACTAGATTCTCATGGGAGATTAAGGGCAGATAGATGCCGGCCTCTCTCTTGTGAGACGGCACCCATGCTTAGATGAGAAAAGCACATTGTGTGGAAACTTGTACCAGTTGGGAGGGAACTGGTTAGTAAAATGGAATGCACCCAAGGGAATATATTTCTAACATTATTAGTGTTTATCACTTCTGGCAAGCAGCATATATGCCACAAACATGAGACAGCTTTGTGGACTCAGTTCTCATTCCTTCCTTAACTGTCCTCCTGCTGTCTGTTGTTCCCTTTGCGTGCACTCTACACAAATGGCAGGTCTCTTTGAGCTGAGCCACACACGGCAAACTTGGACGTAATGTTTTTTTCCGTTAATAAAAGTTCTCTCAAGCATTCTGAATATTTTCCTCTGCTCATTTTGAGGCATCTGACAGTTCTCACATGCCCTTCCTGCCCTGAAAATCAAACTCTATTGACACACAATGGAAAAATAAAAAGTATGGCTTTGCTCAAATTCAGGAGACTTCAGACTTCCAAGTCTGGCTTCCTGACCGACCAACCAAACATGATCAATCATGTAAACTTGGGCCTGCTTAATGTATGCCTCTGTAAAATTGAAATATTTAGGTAGGTTTGTATCCACAGGCATGTGGAAACTGAGCAGATATCTGGATAAAAGACTTTGAGGTCACTGAGCGTGAAATTGTTTAGTTTACTTACCAGTAGGAAAGCTATGCTGCTTATATTTCCAGTGGTATATTGGAAACATAGGCGCCTAAGCACACATTTAGAGCACATTGCCATCTGAACGAGGTCCAAAATCGACATTTTCCTCAGACTATTCATTCATCATTTTTTTCTCTTTTAACGTTTGTTGTTCTTTCCTTCCTTGCAGTCTCGGCAGCTGGCAGAACAATTGTTGTCTCGGAGGAGACAGAGAAGAGCATGAAGGTGACATGGCAACCAGCACCTGGAAATGTAGTCAACTACCGTGTTACATACAAACCAAAAGAAGGAGGGCGACAGCTAGCAACCAAAGTGCCTGGTGGCACAACTTCCACTGTACTGAGACGCCTCACCCCCCTCACCACCTACGAGATCACAGTTTTGCCTGTGTACCGCTCTGGAGAAGGCAAAGTTAGGCAGGGAGAAGGAACCACACGTACGTTTGATTATTATGCAATACATCACAAATGTTGCTCTTTCTGTTGCCAAGTTTAGACAAGCTGTATTTATATGTGGCAGACTCAATTAAAACTACTCATCCTAATCCTAAGTCTATTTTCTTGTCTCCTTAGTGACACCCTACAAAGGCCCCAGAAACCTGCAGACTTCAGAACCTTCAAAGACCAGTTTCCGTGTAACCTGGGACCATGCTCCTGGTGATGTGAAGGGATACAAAGTCACTTTCCACCCAATTGGTGAAGAAGTTGACCTTGGACAACTTCTGGTTGGTCCATATGACAACACTGTGGTGCTAGAGGAGCTGAGGTGTGTCTTCTGGCTGGCTTATACTTCCATAACTCTGCTCTGTTATTGATTAAGATGAAGCTGAAAATGTTTTTTTTCTTCGGTTGACAGAGCTGGAACCAAATACAGTGTGAATGTGTTTGGTGTATTTGATGGAGGAGAGAGTATGCCGTTGGCTGGAGAGGAAAAAACAACACTTTCTGATGATCCTGACCCTCCTTTTTATGTACCAACAGGTAAATTGAACAAATATTCAACTAAAACCAATATTTATAACTGAAAATATATGATATACAATCCAAGAAATGTTTTCGTCATACTTCCTATGACTGTTATCACAGCTATGGCAATGTCTCTACTTTGTTATGTCTCTGGGGAGCAACAGTCAAAACACTGAGTCTGTATCACATCGTGAATATCTACTTAGGAATATACAATGTAAACTCATGCCCCATAAAAGTTGACAAGTTTCTTTAAATGCCTTTCCTCAAAGCTAATTGTTTAACAAAAATAACAGATGTAATTGCTATACCAGCTGCCTTCCCTTTTCTTACGTTCTTCATTGTGTCACTTTAGGCTTCTGCTTTTATTTCCACTCAAAGTCCAGCCAGTGTAGATTTTAGCCACACACTTCTAATGCATTTGTAGTTATAAAGTGTTTTTACTACTTTGTGAGTCAGAGCACAGCAGGCAGCAAGTGTGAGAAGAGGAAAAAATGTTGTGTTTTTTGGAAGTAACTGTAAAGGTCAGCTTGACCACTCAGCTGCAGGTCTGGCCCTAATAAGGAGGCAGATTCAGCAGCTTCAGAAGATAAAAGAGAAGAGGTGAGAGTGTGTTACCCTCCCCTGTGCTGTCTACTGACTCCAGGCTAGTCATCAAGAAGACTAATGAAACTTAAAAGCTAAGAAAAAAATGTTTCTGGCCAAGACTGAGTCATATTCTGTTATCTTGTCTTGTTTTACTAAAAACAGAGCATAATTTGGTATTATTCACTAATTTATCTTTATCCTAAAAAACAAAAACACAAGTTTCTATTTTATTATTCTTCCTTTTATGCTGATGCAGCTCTTTCAGGCCTGCCTGTTTGTGTGCATTTTTCTGTTCATCTGTGCACTTTCATTGAAGTCTCTTCCATCTGGCAGCGGGAGTGGTACCTTGACAGCTGGCTGTCTGTCATGGGGGTGGGGATTTTAGTTTTCTCTGTAAGCAAACAATCTGTAAATCAAACATGTTAACCTGTTTTCAGTTGCAGACAGTGGCACTTAGTGCAACATCTGCCTTTCTCTGGTGCACATCTGCAGTCCTCTTTCAGGTGCCGTGGATCAGAGGCTTTCCTTGTCATCACACACTTGTTTGGACTAACAGGATCTGAATAATACCTTGCATCTCTGGAGGGCACATTTATTTCTCCTGTGGTGGCCTTTGATATGTCACAGACCATTAAGAGAGTGCACATCTGATTTGCCCCTGGGATTCGTTCATCACAGAAAGCATAGCTGCCTCGACATGCTACAAGACGAGAAAATGATATTACAACCAGAGGAAGACAAATGTTCTCCAATAAAGAAATCATGCCCTCCTTTATGTTTGGTGTTTTACTTAATGCCCTGTGATCTTGCTCAGTGTGTTTTCAATGTCAACAAACTCTTGCCTTTTTCTTTCCTTCACCTTTCCCAACTTTTTGTGCACTCCTATAATCATTACAGTCCACACACACACACAAACACACACACTCACACTCACACATTGCACATGATTCAATATGTATTTAACTGTAAATAATCCATTTTGTGCTGGTAAGACTCTGACATTTTGCCGTCACAGATGTACAGTGTAAAACCACTGCACAGGCTGACATTGTGCTGCTGGTGGACGGGTCCTGGAGTATTGGACGTCTGAACTTCAAGACCATTCGTGCCTTCATCGCCCGGATGGTTGGAGTCTTTGACATCGGCCCTGATAGGGTCCAGATTGGTGGGTCTAATCAAAATATGGACAAATATTGTCAATCCATGTACACAGTTAAAAACTTTAAAAAAAATCTCTGTACTGATCAAACAAATATTTTTCTTTTCCTTAAGGTCTTGCCCAGTACAGTGGAGACCCAAAGACTGAATGGCACTTAAACGTTCATCGAACCCGGGAGTCTCTTTTGGACGCTGTGGCTAGCCTTCCATACAAAGGAGGAAACACCCTGACTGGTAAATGTTTCTCTTTATTCAGGAATAGCTTCCATTCCAGTTGTTAAAGCACAGTAATAAATTTGACATTTTGTGTTTATGTTTTCATCTCTGCAGGTTTGGCTTTGAACTACATCCTCCAGAACAATTTCAAAGAGAATGTTGGGATGCGACCCAGTGCCAGGAAGATCGGAGTTTTGGTCACTGATGGCAAATCCCAGGATGATGTCATCGTTAACTCTCAGGCTTTGCGTGACGATGGCATTGAGCTGTATGCCATTGGTAAGCTGTCACAAGTTTAGCTGTCTTCATACTTAACGAACGGTGTGAGGTAAAAACTATAAATGACATATTTCTTTTTAGGTGTGAAGAATGCTGATGAGAACGAGTTGAGGTCCATCGCCACTGATCCAGATGATATCCATATGTACAATGTGGCGGACTTCTCCTTCCTGTTGGACATTGTTGACGGCCTCACTGAGAACCTCTGTAACAGTGTCAAGGGTCCAGGTACTCAAGAGTTTCCATTCAAATACACATGGAGCTGACTGATCAAAGTAAAAGTATGGTTGCATTGAATGTAGGGACAGATTCCCTCTTTTTTACTATTTCCTTAATTTCAGTCTAAACTTTTTGCGTAGCATCCCAGACCCATAGAAAGAGTTGCACATCTGACCAACTTTAGAAAGCAGCTCTGGAAAAAAAATAACAAACCAAGCTCTTGGAAATGATTGTAGACCTATTATTTCCTCTTCCTCAGCCTCCCTGGAGTAAAAAATCATCTGCTCCCTAATTAAATTAAAGATCTGCTATTGGAAACTGTAGGGAGACTCCTTAGGGAGGATGTGGCTTTAAATCCTCAATTAGTACTGTGGTTTTTGCAAAGTTCTATTAGGACATCATTAGTAAACAGGATGACTTTCATCTGTGGCTACATCTTGTTTTTACCAGCTCATTTGTACATAATTCCAAATTATAAATGACCATAAAATTATGATCTTTGTTTCTTACATAATCCTTTTTAAACCAGCGCCTGCTTTTGCACTGATGTGAGAAAGTAATGGAGAATTTTCACCGACAGTGTCAAAGGTTCAATGCGACAGCCTCTATTAAAGGTTTGTCCCTTTTTCAAAATGTCTGAATAGGTGGTGCACCTGATGCTCCCACTAACCTGATAACATCAGAGGTGACACATGAGTCCTTCAGAGCAACCTGGACTGGTCCCGAAGGCCCGGTGGAGAAGTACCGTGTTGAATACATGACCGTGTCAGGAACCCCACAACAGGTACTCTACACAATCATGCTGCACAGACTGACAGTCCTGTTAATACAGTCTGTAATGAAATTGTATAAAGTGTGTGTAGAATCTCCCTTTGTGGATGTTCACGTTTTGCTTGGCTATGATGGGATCTGACCCTCTGTTTTTTTAAGTAATGGGAAGCTCCACTCAGGCCTCTATTTCCAGCCCCCTGTTTGTTTTGGCCTCTCATTGTTTAGGTGTCTAATTACATTACGATCCCACACAGGGAAAAGAAACTAAAACACACTGCTCTCCGTTTAGAGGATTAGAAAGCAAATAACGACTCTGTGATAGCAATATTGGCAAGCAGAGTTTTGGCTCCACAATATGTGGACTAGATGCATTTTTGATGTCTGAATCTTATTATGAGGACAAAGATGTTTGCTTTTGTCAAGCTCCCATGGTTTTGTTAAATATTGAACAAAGTCAGGGTTTTTATTATTGTTTATGGACCTAGAATTGAAACACATGCAGAGTTTGCGAGAGGGATTTGTGAGTTTAATTGGAAAACTTTACAAAATGCTGAAGTCAATCCTGTAACTAGATAAAGCTTATGCTTGTTATTCCTCTAAATTGATCAATTTTGATCAGGAACTATCTACAGGCACTTGATCCAACAAAAACTCCCAGTGAAAACATTGCAAATATACTTCAGAGTCTAACAGATGACTTCTTTTGCTGAAAATTTCACTTCCTCTCTGCTCTAGGTGTTTGTTGATGGGACAGAAACCACAACTGTTCTCCAGGGCCTCAATCCCCTAACAAAGTATCTGGTCAACGTCTACGCCGTGGTGGGAGAGGACAGCAGTGAGCCTCTGGATGGAACTGAGACCACATGTATGTCTCCTCTTCTGCTTGGCTTCTGGCAAATAACATCAGATTTAAAAAATTCATGAATGGTAGAAGTTGTGAGTGGGAAAGTAAAGCGTTTTAATTATGTTTTCCGCCTCTGATCTTATCATAGATATAATGATTTCATGTTGTTCACTCGATCACATTTAGGCAATCTAGATGACTTGGGTATTAACTCCAGACAAAATAACTTTTTAGCTTTTATTTTGATGAAGGCCCTTTGTCCTTGTGATTACTACATTGCCATAATTTATCATGCCATCAATGGCTATAAACAATGTATCAATCAAATGAAATCAATCAAATTTTATTTATATAGTGCCAAATCACAACAGTCATTATCCCAAGACCCTTTCCAAAAAAGAGCCGGTCTAGACCACACTCATTTCGTATATCGTATATCTTCGTTTGTTATCAATGTGGCTGCAAAATGATAGCAAGAACAAGTTTTAAATAGGCACAATTTGATGGCAACCTTGATTACACTGGCCTCAAATGTAAATTTGAGGTCTTTCTTTGGTTCTCTTGAGATGTTGTTAATTGCCAGGGCTCTCTAGAGTAGTAACGCTTATATAAAGCAGTGCTGCTTGTTTAGATTGTGAAGAGTGAATACAAAAGGCTCAAAAACATCTTTTTGCATTGAAAGCAACATTTAAAAATACACCGTTTTTAAATTGCCAGTAACATTATTGTCTGTCGTTGTCAAGTGCCCCTACCTGGAGTGAGAAGCATGGACATTTATGATGAGCAGACCACTACCATGCGGGTGAGATGGGAGAGGGCACCAGGTGCAACTGGCTACATGTTGCTCTACAGTGCCGTCAATGCCACTCAGCCCACCGTTGAGCAGGAGGTAAGATTTGGGTTTACATGTGTTTATTGGTGGACATGATCACATGTCTCGATCCATCCACGTGTACCAAACATATTGCTGAGTGCAGGAAGAAGCTGAACACTCCAGCACGCTTTCAGCAGTTCGTGAAAAAATTGAGATGTCACAGAACAAGAAAAGACACTGGACAAAGCCGCCAGTGTTTTCTTCAACATTCAGCACATACGGCAAAAGGGAAAACATAGAGGATCTTTGTTAGCCACAGAGGGAGTGGGTGAACCATGAGCTCAGCCTGCCAAGGGAACATCATCATTTGTTTATGATGTGTCAAACCCAGTGGGTCAAACCGGAATAGGCAGATGTGCTGCAACCAAAATATTTCTCCCACTGCTCCTAACCGAATGTCTGTCTTCCTCACTGAGGATTCCTCATCAGCTCCATCGCATCTGACTTTCGTTTTTTTCTCTGATCTGGTCCCTTTGCAGGTCAGAGTTGGCGGAGATAAAACCGATGTCCAGCTGGTGAAGTTAATCCCGAACACAGCCTACAGCCTGTCCCTGTTTGCCCTGCATGGAGAGTCAGCAAGTGAACCACTGACCCAGCAGGGAGTCACACGTATGTAGTCCATGAATCACAAGTAGATTTTGTTAAACATGTATACCATTAAGCAGACACTGTGGATTTAAAATTATCTTTCAAAATACACAACTATGATTTTGTCACAAAGCTAACTCTTACCTTTCCTTGTTTTAGTGCCCCTTCCACCTGCAGGTGAGCTGAGGGTTCGAGATATCACCCACAGCACCATGAAGCTCAATTGGGATGCTGCTCCTGGTGCTGTTCGCAAGTACCTTGTCACCTACAAGCCTGAGGAGGGAGAGGCAAAGGAAGTAAGTTTGGTTTCAAACTAGGGCTGATATCGGTACGATATCAGCAAAAAAAAAAAAAAAGTTACTAACAAAGTAGAAAGGAGTAAGAGTGATGTTGGCTTTGTGGAATCAATATTGGTATTGGTCAATATTGAAGGCTTCAATACCCATATCATATTGGATGTCTAAAAGCTGTATCGGGACAACCTTATTTCAAACACCCTCCTCTCTGGCATTACTGAAACAGTAGAATACATGTAAACAAAATATCAGCAGTATGTGCTTTTATCTGCACCAATCTGATTGTTTTCACCTACCAACTTTCATTGCCTAGTGTCTGTTGTAGTCATTAGATTTGATGGTGATGAATTTATATCAGTATTTCAGACTGATCTCTCAATATATTGGCTCAGACCTTAAAATGGAAACTGCAGCAGGCTGGCTGGACATCAGGGAATGTTTTGGAGTCTTATGAAAGGTTACGAAACCCATCGGAACACAGTTTTGCAGGGATTAAAGTAGAGTTTTGTTACCGGGATTGGACAAATACTTTATAGTTGCCTGTCCCGTTTTGGGAGTTCTTGGGCTACAGCAGCAAACTTTGTGGTTCACCTTTGCTACTTCCTTTGCCATAAATCACATTGAGGCGATCCTTAAAGCTCCTCTGATGGAATTGCACATGTGAAGCTAGCTTCATGGGCCAAGTTGTGGATGTTGGAAACCTAATGTGTGGGAAGAGGGAGCTTGCTACCTAGAAAGCAGTAGGATGTCATGTCTAACCTTATGGATTATGTGATTGAACCCAACAGGCAATATTAAATCCCACTCAACAGGGAAGGCATATTCCCACATTTATTCCAGGTGAAGTTTCATGCATAAAGACAAATAAACTGTCTTTTGAGAGTTTTAACTCAAACTGAAAGGCTGAAGATCTGGCAAACACATGGAACTGTTCAAGCTAATGAGTGTTCTGATGAATCCCTTAATTACAATTCCTCGAAATTGAGCTAATAAAAGTTGATGCGCAGTAAACCCAGTGGGGGGGTTTCAGACGAGTACTCCAGGTGTTTGGCCATAACATGCTTCACTTTGTTGTTTGTTGTGATTCTTGTTTATTCCCATTTTCTTCTGGAAACAAGCTGTTTTATGCCTTGAAGTCAAGTTTCCTACTAGTCTTATTAGAACCATGTTCCTGCTTTCACCAGTTTTCCTAGGAATACGTGTGGTGACCAGAATAAACATATCACAAGACTTTGCAAAAGAGAGAAAGATCCTAAGATCGCTAAACTTATGTGAATTTTTTTGACATGATTTGCAAAGCCCTGTGTTCTGAAGTAAGATTTTGTGTAATGGTCCTCAACAAGTTTTCTTTCTCACAGCTGGAAGTTGGAGGAAGTGTGACCACCAGAGTATTGGACAATTTGATCTCACAAACTGAGTATGCCCTAGCTGTTACTCCCATCTATGATGAAGGACCTGGCCAGACCATGTTAGGAGAGGGAATCACAGGTAAGCATGGGAGTTGTTGTTTTTTTTTTTTGTGACTATCTGAATCGCCTTGTTTGTAAGATTCTAACTCTTCCCTTCTGTATTCTGCAGATGTGGTTCCTGCTCCAAAGAACCTTCAATTTTCAGAAGTTACCCAGACCAGCTTTAGAGCAACGTGGGAGCACGGAGCACCTGACGTGGCCTTGTACCGCATTGGCTGGACGAAGAAGGGAGAGTCCAACTTCCAATACGTAAGAGAAAAGCAGCTGTCCGAGATGTTTGCGTTTCTCATAATTCATGAGAGTATTTCTTGATCAGTTCCACAGAAATTGATATGGCTTCACTTTGAAAAATTCCTCATGAGAAAACAGTGGGAACATTTAGAAAACAGATATGTGCACCAATCCAGTTATAATAATCCCAATATGGATCCAGTACTGCTTGTTTGGTTTGTTTTGGATAAAGTCTTTGTCAAATGCCTTTCCTCATGCTGTGTTTGTTTTCCTCATCAGGCCATCCTGAACAATGATGAGACAACCCATGTCCTGGAGAACTTGGAGCCAGACACTCCCTATGATGTGTCTGTCACTGCAATCTATCCAGATGAATCAGAGAGCGAGGATCTGCTGGGCACAGAGAGGACATGTAAGATACAACACCCCCGGGGGTCCTGTCAGAATCAATACACAATGACTTTAGTTGACTCTGTTCTGCTTAAGCTGCTTGGTGGATATGTTGTTGTTGTTGTTGTTGTTAATTTACCAGTGATGAAACTCTGGTCTTACCTTCTGGAAATACCCGGAGTGAAACTTTAAACAAAGGGTATGCCCATTATACCTTTTTATTTTTGCCTCTGTAGTGTCCAAGCAAGGGGATGGTAGGCCGGGTAAGTATATTTGTGGTAAAACATGAGGATGCTTTTTATTTCAGTTGCTGAAAGCATGTTTTGTTAATTCAACCATTGGAAAACCATCACTTCATCATCAAGCAAGGCCTTTAACCCATCCATCGCTCCAATGGTGCTCGACTGCAGCTGATACAGCCAATGTTATTATGTGTTTGTCTATGTCTCTGTGTGTCCCATTTTTCCATGCCAATCATCCCATGGCTGTTTCTAAATGTCTCCATTTTCACTCAGTCAAATGTCAGTGGCTTAAGATGGATGTCAACGATGCATGCCCTTGCAAAACAGGGATTTGAATCCTTTCTTTCAAAGCCCATTTCATCATCATCCATCATCCATCCATCCTCTATTCATCCATCAACTCTCCATCACATTCATCCATGCATTTATCAGTCCATCCATTTTTCTTTTCATCAGTCCATTGCTGTTCAAAGGAATCCATCGCTTCATCGGAAAAGACCGAATCCCAGACATGGATTGTCTTTTCTCATTTAAAGCTGCAATCCTTGAAACTAATCAGTGGCAGACTTTTGGGTAGCTGTTTTATGACACAAAATTAATCAGGTGCACTGAATGATGAAGTCAATTGCCTGATATTTTGACAACAAAATTAGTCTTTCAAGGCTAATTTTTACTCTGAACTGCCCAAGATATCAAGGAATGTGTCTTTAAAGGATGTTTGTAAGCTCATGGAAAAAGTGCTTGAACATGTTTGATGGAGAAATGCTGTGACGTGATTGTAACTGCGATATGTGTGCATGCATTCTCCAGTGCTTCAGGGACCTCCCACCAACTTGGTTGTGTTCAATGAAACCACCACCACCCTGAATGCCAGGTGGGAACCAGCGCCAGGTCGTGTCCAAAACTACAGGATCACTTATGTTCCCACAGCTGGAGGAAAGAGCCAGACTGTAAGTTATACGACAGATTAACTCTCAACTCTCTCAACACACACACTCTGTGGACATTCTGCTTTGTAAGAAGAGATATTGTTGTTGTTCGGTCATAGAGCTAAAATGACCGAACAAGGCAAACTAAAATAGAGATTTAACTCAATGCTAGATTTGCATCTTCTCACAGAGATTTGGACATATTATACAGATTTGGAAAATAGAAATCTCTCTATAGCTGAAATCCTTTAAGTGTTGTAAAATCATTTCATTAGTTCAGACAGGCCACCAATCAAGCTCAGCCCACGGTACATCAGCTGATCCCAATGCTGCCCATATCAGCTGACAGCTCAGCTGATTACCTTCTACACAAAATACGGATTCTATCTTTACTGCTTCAGTCTGTCTTAACTTGATGCTTCCTCTGCAATGTACTTTGCAATCCACCTCCAACATAGCTCCTCCTTTTCATGGTTTCTGATTTGACCAGTGTTGTCATTGATACATTGTCACTGATGCCCACCCTGTTCTTTGCTGATGCTCATCATGCTTTTCCTTTTTTACATTATGCAGAGGAAAAAACTTTCCTGACTGCAGTTTTGAAGATTGCAGAGGGCTCTCAAATTAGAGGCATGCAACTACTGCATTAAAAATAACTGTTTATTTTGGGCTGAATTTCATTTGATGTCAAATTTCTCAGTCTGTTGTTTTGATATTGCAGCACTAATATAGACAAACCCTCTCTAGTATTTTCTAATATCACCCAAGTCTGGAAAAATCTATCGCCGGTTAGAGGTTCTTGGCTGCCAGACTGAAGTGGAAAGTCTTTTTGAAAGTTATGGAAAAGTTTGATTCAGTTTTCTGTCAGACCTGTCTCTTTGATTCTCTAAGTGAGACTAAAAAGCCCTTAAGTATGGTTAATTGTGTTTATGCACATGTTTATACAAAATACTTCACATTGATAACTACACCGATAAGCCATGTGAATCAGTAAATGTCCCAGCCAACTTTGGGAGAAATATTTCATCCCAGCCACTTGGCATTTATTGGCTGTGAAGAGTTTCTCTAAACAGATGGAATGAAATGTCATAAAACGTTCATATGACAGATTTTAGGAGCTGATAATTTAACAGCTAAGAAGACAGTAAACAGATACACCAAAGACTGAACATTTATCTCTGCTGTGTTTTGATGGTTTCCAGACAGCCTGTGCTATTTTGCTCAGAACAGAGCAGATAGGTTCTCTGATCCTGCTGTTAGTTCACTCTTTTTCACCTACTTTGATAAAGCCCAGGCAAGATTTGTCATACTTGAAATGCAGCTAAAGCAAATTTACATCTTTGTTATTTACTCTGTCTAAAGTTCTTCATAAACTCAGCTCAGATAGAGTTAAATTGGCTGACCATTAGCGTAAAATATAATGCCTTACTCTCATGCTTGATGATATGTAGTTGTGCTGATTGACAGTGGGATATCACACCGAGAGGCCGATGGAAAACTGGAAGCTAACAAGCTTGCATCAGCCAACTAGTCTGGATCCCCAATCAGAATTTCAGTGCATAAAGCTTGTCCAGGGAGGTTTGCATTATTTAGTCTGGCTGTTTGGGAACTGTCTGACACTCTGTTTTAAACTAGTGTGAAAAACAAGTGCAGTGCCAAATATTAAAGCATACAGTCTGCTTGTTTTTGTTGGAAGACTAATCTACTTAGTTTTAGACACAGATTTGTACAGGGACAAATAAACCCTCCTGGGACTTCAACAGACATAAAAGCTCAGGTGTATACATTATCACAAACAAATCCTCATTCTCTCCTAGCTCAGAGTTCCTGTTTGTCCCCAAGGTTTGGCTTGGAATAATGTCATAAATTCATCTCCAGTCCAGACATCCGACTGTATCTCCCATCAGCGACAGATTTATCTTGGCCAGAGCGCAGAGTATTTTGTCCAGAACACTCAAAACATTCTTCCTCTGAAGTGTTTACAGACCAGTATTTTTCAGGTGGAATTCTTTCCATCAAGTTATTCATATCAATTTATGGCACACATGGAGAGTTGTAAAAACTCTTTATCCCTTTCTTGAGACCGTTCAAATATCTTCCCACTCAGTGCATAGCTACTCAAGGTTGTTTGAAACCATAGCAAGACAGATGTACAAATATACGAAGAGGATAAACAGGACACTTGGCTTTTATATCGAACAACCGAGCAAGGCTCATTTTTAAGTGGCTGATTTTGTTTCATCGTCTTCCAAACTTGGGATATCCTTTTATGATAATGAAGATAATACTTGCTTTTGTTCAAATAGACCCAGGTAGGAGGAAAGAAAACCACTGTCCTTCTTCCTAAACTGACCCCTGACACTGAGTACGACATCACTGTGGTGGCGGTTTATGCCAGAGGAGTCAGCATGGAGCTGAATGGTGCTGGAAAGACCAGTAAGTGTGCTCACTTTTGTTGCTTCTGAATGGCAAGTTATACCTTTTTAGGAAATGTGCAGCATTCCCTAATGTGCTATTATCATATCTCAGAGCCTTTGGGTGGCGTTAGAAACCTGCGTGTCACTGATCCCACTACCAGCACCCTGAATGTTCAGTGGGAACCTGCTGAAGGAAATGTGCGTCAGTACAGGATCTTCTATGTCCCTGCAGCCGGAGGAGAAGAAGAGATGGTAAGCTAGCAAACAGAGCCTTAGGGCATGTTAATATCTTCAATTTTATCCTAGTAATTTGCCTAATTTTCAGCTGCCAGAGCACCAACTTAAGCATGTTTTGTTTTACTCTATCAAGGTTCAGGTGTCAGGCAGCACCTACAACACTGTGCTGAAGAACCTGCAGTCTGATACTGTCTACACTGTAACCGTGGTTCCTGTCTACGCTGCAGGAGAGGGTCAACGCATGTCTGAGAACGGCAAAACATGTAAGCACTGCATGCATGTAATATCTGGATAAAGTCTCATGTTGTAATGGTGAATCATACAGGGATGTTAGGGGGGGAAACTAGCATGTTTGAAAGACTGCTTTAAATGTTTAGAAGAGCTCATGCAAACTGAGAAAAGGAACTCAAAGAATGACATACTGTATGACGACTAGGGGATTTTTTTCCTACTTAGAGTCAATTCATGCCTGTCCAGAGTGAACTTATTGGCCTTCGTTATTGGCTTGTGGTTTCTGTCTGTCAGGAGTCTTCAGTGAAGCGGTCATTTATGACTGATTTGTTTCAAAATAACTTCCAAACTCTTTCAAAACCTGCACGTTAATCCTAAATGATCAAATGTCGTGGGCTTCTCAAAAGTTAAATAAATGAAGATTAGGCAGCATGTTCTTTTGGCAAATGGACATTTCACCTATGCCATACATGTTACAAATGTTACTTAAAATGTAACCAAAAATCATAGTTTTAAACTCTGTCGGCTCAGTTTGAAAAGACTTTCCAGTTTCTCCCACAATTTCAAACCACCAATCTGGGCTGGGAATGAGTCAGCGTTTTGTGGAGCGATTGCGTAGGAAGGAATTCCTCAGGGTTGGCAGAATCATAATGGTGTCTCCTCTTCCTTTACTGTAATATTGTCCATTTATAGTTTGGAATGAAGGGTAGTGGTCAGGATAATGCTGGGTTTGGGGAATGGGGGGAGGGGGGTTATTGAGTAATTGGCTCTCCTTTGGGAAAAAGAAACACAAGGGGGTTAGAAATGAATGGAGAGCATTATACATTTTATGGCTCTCAACTCACTTGGCTAAGGTCACGCTCCATTCCCACCGCTGTTACCCCTATTTTCCTTTTTGTAGCAGTGGACACTCATGTTCTGTGGCTTGTTCTTAGACATGTTAACCAAACTTTGTACAGTATGTACAGTAATCCAGCTACCAAACCCTTTACTGCCTACTTACTAGCATGGCTGCCTCTGTGGATGGTGTCATCTCCGGTCAAACTGAAGTCGCTCATTCATTCCCTACGGTTCATCCAATTTAAGGAAGAACAGCGCCTGCTTATTTTTCTAACCACGGACTGTTAATTGTGCCTTAAAATTCAAACAGCTTTTTCGGCAAAAAGGCTTTGGTGTGTGAAACTTTAAAGTACGGAAGCTCTCTTAGTGTGTTTAGCCCAGTGTGTTTTTCCCTTGCATTTATTGGGTTATTAAGAGGAGCAGCACAAAGCATCTAAACATCTGCTTTGGTTTTTTAAGAAGGCGAGTTTCACACAAGTGCTACACATACGCCTTGTATATCCTTTTCATTAACCTTTAGGGCACTGACAGGAAGTGTCCTGGTGATAGCAGTATTGTTAAATACTGTCTTAAACGTGTCTGTGTTGGTTGCTAGGCAGCATTGTTCCCATTTTATTGAAATGTTCTCATGTGGGCTCTGAGCTCTTCTTCCCTTAAAGCTGGTCTGGATTGTGTTATGTTAAATGAGACAAAAGGAAGATGGTAACACCACAAGTGAGGAGATTTTAAAATGCATCATTTAAACACTTGCAAACAACCTCCATAAAACTAGAGCGGGTAAAACTTGAAACTACTGAAACCCAAATACCAGCAGAAACAAACTACATGTGTTTGTGGAGAGCTCTTACAGTTGTTGTTGAGTAATTGATGGTGTTAACCTCTAATTTCTTGACCTCTGTCCATTCCCCATTTACCTGTCAGTACCTGCACTCAACAATCTCTTTGTTTTTGTCTCCTCTGCTTTTTCTCATCCTCTTTCTCCATCTGTTTTCCTTTTCTGTGCAAAATGCCCAAATGACTGGACTTTGACCTCACTCTGTCAACGCTCTGTACTCTGCGCAATCTCCCCCTCATCACTCTTTCTGATTTAACCTACCATGACCCTCACTCTAACCTTTTACTTTCTTACCTTTGTCTCTACCTATCATCACACTCTCACCAACCAACATTCCTGGCTCGGCAGTGGAGCGTCGCCCTGTTAGGAACATCCAGGTATTTAACCCTACGACCAACTCTCTGAACGTTCGCTGGGAGGCTGCCACAGGCCCAGTGCAGCAGTACCGGGTGGTCTATGCTCCTCTGACTGGCGCCAGGCCTTCTGAGTCGGTGAGTTTCCATTTACTGTGTGGGAAGTGTAGTATAGCACATATGGATTGAAAAAAAATATTTATTTAAGAGCACAACAGCGCCAAAGTTCCTCTGAATTGGTCGAACATTGCTAATCAGTAGCAGTCTTAACAGCCTCATCCTTAAGTTGAAAAGAAAACATTGGTCTGTTCACCAAATGGTCCATGTGAATGTTTTTTAATGCATGCATGTGTGCAGTTACTGACAGCTTTATTCTTCTCATTCACATACTGTGAAAGGTTTAAAACCACAACTGTGTTCATTAAAGCCGAAATTCTTCTAGAGAAACTTCTGCTCTTTGCACAAGATGTAGCATCTGGCACCAGTTTGCCCATGGCATCACGTGCAAAAGATTTCTAGATGGTTTAAAGAATCCACAATCAACTTTTGAAGTGTCACTAGACATCTCACCATGAGCTTTCCCCAGCATCTGCCTTAAAGACGGTACCATTAGTGTTTGATTTCTTCTCTGGGACACTAAAAACATGGGCTTCAAAGGGTATGCACATGCTAGTTTATGATTGAGAGGTGCGCTGTGACTTTATCCCAGATTTTTAACACATTTATGGCGGGCTCAGGATATCTTTCCATGGCTAGGTCCAATGTTCAGCTTCAGTGGCAATGTGGTCTTTTTCAGCCAGAACCATCAAATTTAACACCAGCTGGAGATTTGTAGCACAAATTACCAGCTTTACTGGTGTCACCTGCAATATTATTTTTATCGTCAGACTCTCAAACACTAAAGCCCATGTTTTAGGGACAAGATGGGAACAAAAGAAAACACAGAACAAGTATCTGCCTGGACATTGTTGTTGCATTTTCACCTGTCAAGAATAGACAGTAAACAGACACTACAAACCCATTTGCCGGGGTGACATTTGCTTACTTCACTCACTCTCTTAAAGAGGTTATCACCAGGCCAGAGCCCTCCAGGAGCAATTACCTTACTCCCTTCTAAATAACCATTACAGAAAAAGAGAGTAAGGCGGAGGCTGGCCTCTATGTAATCAGCTGCTGTCATTGTCAGACAGACTTAAACTATGTAGCTGGCTGTCAAACTTCAAAGGGTTACCAGGCTCTCCCTTTCACTTACTGCTGACAGTCAGGGGCTGTTCAGTCAGGAGAAGGTGTCAGAGGCAGTGTACAACACAAGCAGCTGTTGGAGGAGAGGAGAAGGTTTGTTTGTGTATGCTTTAAATCTTCTCCCCTTTACTGCTGCCAAGATTTTTGGAGAAAATAAACAGATTTGCTATTATTTGGGATGCACCCATGTGTGTCTGGCAGCCAAACCTTGCCCTGTTGATGGATGTAGGGTTACTGGCAAATACTTTGGCTTTCACTAGCTGCAACAACCAATAAATGATGACAAGCCAGTAGGCTTCATGTTTCAGATAATAGTAAGGTAAAAAAAAAAAAAAGAAAAAGAAAAGAAAAGTCTTCTGAAGACAGCCTGGTAGCTTATTGGCAGGTCTGTTTAATGTTTGTGACCTTTCAAAAGTTATAATTTAAACTACAGAGTAATTTTTTTCTATTTTTTTTCTGCATTTAATTCATTTTAAAGATAGCAATCTATAAGTTTTCAAAAATACAGTTTTAAAATGGGTTGTGTAATTACTAAACATCCCTATAACTGACTTTGCAGTTATGACGTAGACTAGAGTTTGTCAAAATAGTTATTCAGAAAAACACTCTCTTGTTAAATAAAAGAAAGTGAAATTAAGGATTAAAGCTTTTAGTATATTTAATTGAATGTGTGTTCATTCCAAGACATAGTTAAGAAGGCCTGTTAAGATCTGTTATGTAACAATGACTTGGAATGTAATTTAAAAAAATGTAATAAAACCCAAAATGTAACAACTGTTTGATACTGTAACAAGGCGCTAAGCCCAAAAGGTAGCAAATTATTACATTTTGGGTCAATTATCACAATTTGGGTTTTATTACATTTGGTTTATTTCATTTTGGGTTTAACACTTTTGTTTCATATTGACAAATTATCACATTTGGGGCTTTATTACATTTTATTAATAATATTTCAGGTCATTCTTACATATTGGGCTCTAACAAGGCCTTAACAAACTTAAGCAATGATCGCTTCTGTTTTAACATTAAGATTAACCACCATCTGTGACCCAGATGGGTAGATCAATGACAACAAACAAAATAAGCAAAAACAACATACTTCATTAAACATATGCATATATCCACATCTAGGATTGGTTTAGTTGTCATTTTTAACATTTAAATCAGTATAGGCCCCACTTTTCTCGTCAGTGCTCTTACGATAAGTGACTATCATAGATCTTATTTTTGCACACAGTTCAGCAAAACTCTCATAGAAAGTGACTCATAATATTTTCTGTATATCTTTTCAGGTTTTGGTTCCAGGAACCACCACCACAGCTCTTCTGCAGCAGCTTCTCCCAGACACTGCTTACAATGTTGGAGTTGTCGCTCTGTACAGTGATGGAGAAGGACCCACTATCAGTGATGATGGAAAGACATGTAAGTACCAGTGTGTTAAAGGCAATTGTTGAAAAGTAGTGTTTCTTGCTATGTGCAGATTTGATAAAGCTATTTACTCATCTCACTGAAAGGTAACACCAGTGAGATGAAGATATGTTTTGATATGATATTTTTAATGAATTCAACGTCTTCTCTGCTCAGTGCCCCGCAGTGGCCCAAGAAACATGCGAGTATATGACCCGACCACCACCACACTCTCTGTGAGCTGGGAACATGCTGAAGGTCCAGTCGTGCAGTACAAGATCACCTACGCCCAGACCACAGGAGACCCTATTGAGGAATCTGTAAGTGTTATTGCAACTCCACACCTTTCAGTTGTTTTAGATAATTAGATCAGACAAATGCATCTTTTAATTCATGTAATTTTTTTATTAATCCTCTCCTTCATGTGGTGAATTTATATCTTATAGACTACAGTTCCTGGAAACAGAAACAACATTGTCCTGCAAAACCTGGATCCAGACACTCCCTATAATATCAAAGTGACTGCCATCTACGCTGATGGACCAGGAGGAGAGCTAGAGGGAGATGGACGCACAGGTATAACTTAAACCTCTGGAATCTGAGTGTGACTTTCTATTGCTTTAATCAACTGAGAGGATGAAACTAAACTTTCTGACGGACAGGTTCAAAGAAAGTACTGCAGCACTGCAAGCTTAAAGGAATGAAATTCATAGCAGGCAAATTAAACAGACTAATGCATTGATTAAGATCCTCAATCAATGTAGGAAATGAGTGAAATTCTTGACTTTTGGACAAGGCCAAAAGAACCACGAGTCTCTGCCAAAGAATTATGAACTGGCTGTCCTCCAGAGAGGGAAATCTCATGCCTGCAGTTCTGGCTCCTGTCTTGCCTAAATTAGTTTCTCAAACAAAAGAAACCTATTTCATATTGCACTCCTTGAGGCACCTTATTATTTTTTTTCCATTTTTCTCTGATGTGGTAAAATTGATCATCCTGATGAAGACATGTGAGATATATTCATCTTGATCCAAACGCTGAAAAAATGCCATAATAGAATAATTACCCTGCCTACAGACACTGAATTCACTGGAATTCATTCCCGATGCAATGAAGCACTAAATGCGTTGACTGTGCTGTCTTGTCTTGTCTCACACAGTGGGTATGCTTGGCCCAAGGAACCTTCGCGTGTCTGACGAATGGTACACACGCTTCAGGGTGTCCTGGGATCCCGCTCCATCCAGAGTTAATGGATACAAGCTCATTTACAAGCCTGAAGGTATGAATGTCTTCAATGTAACAGTCAAGCTATTAAAAAAGATCTGTAATTAAAACTCATCCTTTTCCAAAATGCGAGTTTTTTTTTTTTAATTGATTTTTCCTTTCAGGAACTGATGAGTCTATGGAGGTGAGTGTTGGAGATGTTACCTCCCACCAGCTGCACAACCTGAAACCTGGAACCACTTATGACCTGCAGGTGCTCGCACAGTACAGTACAGGCCTCAGTGCACCTCTGATTGGACAAGGCACTACATGTACGTTGATTGTGCTTTTATTTCATTTTATGTTTTTGATTGAAAGGTTTATCTGCAGAAAATAAAATGGATGCTTGATGTTGTTACAAAAGGAGAGTATATACTGAGTCCAATGCTTCCTTCCCTTTAGTGTACCTGAATGTGACAGACCTGAACACCTACAATGTTGGCTATGACTCCTTCTGCCTCAGATGGTCCCCCCATAGAGCTGCCACTTCCTACAGACTTAAAGTCAATCCTTTTGACAGTAAGTTCTTGCATCAATGAGACCATACACATGATAAAGTTTTTTCAGCTCAGATCTGTCTAATCTGGTTTGTCTTTTTCTACTTTCTGCCCCTCAAGCCTCTAAGAGTGGAGCTCAGGAGATCACTGTCAGGGGATCAGAAAGCAGTCACTGCTTCGATGGGTTGACTCCTGACACTCTCTACAATGCCACAGTTTTTGCTCAAACCCCCAATCTGGAGGGACCTGGAGTCAGTGTGAAGGAGAGGACATGTAAGATATCAGACATTTGCCAGATACATGAGAGAACAGCAGTTTCACACACTTTAGCATATTAGTTGAAGCTACTTGACCCTACAGATGTTTTCTTGCATTGGTTTATCTGTTTCAACTTCTGTTTTCTCTCTTTTTAGTGGTCAAACCCACAGAGGTACCAACTGAGCCACCCACCCCACCTGCCCCTGCAACAGTCCCTCCAGCACTGGATGGTGAGGAGAGCTTTAGCATTTTCATTTAGTGCAGAACAAAAATAAGTCTTCTGTCCTAGCTAGGGCCAGGTAATTTAATAACATCTTGTTCCTGAACTGCAGTGTGCAAAGGTGCCAAGGCAGACTTGGTCTTCCTCATTGATGGGTCCTGGAGTATTGGAGATGAGAGCTTCCACAAGGTGATCCAGTTTGTCAAGAGCATGACAGGAGCCTTCGATGTCATCAGTCCTAAAGGCATGCAGGTCAGTGTGGTGCTCTTCTAAATATTTATTCCTCCATACGGCCCTCAGTGCACCCCTTGATGTTTTATGATTTCTCTGTGTTCTTAAACATGACATCTTATTTATCATCTGTTTCCAGGTTTCATTTGTCCAGTACAGTGATGATGCGAAGACTGAGTTCAAGCTGAACACCTATCATGATAAGGGCATAGTCATATCAGCTCTGCAGGGTGTGCGCTACAGAGGAGGCAACACAAAGACAGGTACACCACCACTGAGAGCCATCTAAGTGGCATTTTCGTTGTCTTTTCTTTGAGAGGATGAATTTTTTGATGCCCAATGACATTCATCGTTATTGTTTTCTGTCCTAGGTGTTGCTCTGAAGCATGTCTATGAGAAGGTTTTCACTTCAGATAGCGGCATGAGGAGGAACGTCCCCAAGGTGCTGGTGGTGGTCACAGATGGACGGTCTCAGGATGATGTCAAGAAGAGTGCAGAGAGGCTGCAGCATGCTGGTATGTGTGAAATTATAAATCATTTCCATGTGTGTTATGGTCTGTATTCTGTGCACAGTGAATACTTTGTGTAACAGAGCTGTTTCGGATTATCTGAATTCCCATTTTGCTCCCAAACTTCAATTTACCTCATCGGAGTTTGTGGCTGATTTTATAAACTCTTAAATAATCCAAATGGCGATGAAAGTGCCTGTGGTTATTGGAAATCTAACAATGGTCTTTGTTTTTTATGTGTGTGTGTTTTTTTCCTACAGGCTACAGTGTGTTTGTGGTTGGAGTGGCCGATGTGGACATGAAAGAGTTGAGACTTATCGGCAGCAAGCCCAGCGAGAGACATGTGTTTGTTGTAGACGACTATGATGCGTTTGACAAGATCCAGGACAACCTGATCACCTTTATCTGCGAAACAGCCACTTCCAGTAAGACAGACATTGATACACCATGAAAACATTATTGGATGTTGCTCATGGCCTTAGATTTTAAATAACCCACTACTAAGGGATGTGCAAATGGATTTATCACTTTCCTGAAGCTATTGTCCTAACTCTTTTTTTGTGTTTGTTGCAGCTTGTCCTTTGATCTACATCAATGGGTTCACAACTCCTGGTAGGTGTGCACTCTCACCTTAGACATGACGTGATCCTTAGAGTCCAACTCCAATCGTTTAAAAAAAAAATACTTATCAGTGGTCTTTAAATTGTGATTATGAAGTTTTTAGCCAAAATCACGTTACTTGTGTCATTTATAAGGGCTTTTCGTGTTAGCAGAGCTCTAGAAGATCATTAGCAATTCACCTCTGAGCCGTGGACAGAGACAGCACTGCTCTGCACACTTGTCTTCGCGTTAGCTTGCAGCCTAACATTGCCGGTGTAGTCGAAGTAGCAGGTTACATAGGACCTACTCAACTCATGGACACTAATGTCTTTGAGGACATGATGAAAGTTACTATCATACTTAGCTTAGTTATGAGTGTTGCAAACCACTAACCCACACACTTGTTCCACGATCACCCTCTCTAGTTTTCCAAGTCTGGCTTGCATAGTGGGGCTTCGGGGGCGGAGCTTGGATTTGTGACATAGGAAATCTGATATCTAATATCTGAACCTGCCAGAGATTCACAGCGATTTGAATGCAGAAATACTCAGGAATGCAATTTCACACTTAGTTTTCTCATGAGGAGCACCAGAAAAATGCTGTATGAACATGTAGACAATAAGAAAAACATGATTTCCATCGGAGTGAGTCTTTAAAGAGCTTGTTGGAATCACTAAAATTTCTTTCAAATACTCATTTTGTCTTTTCATTTTTTTACCCATACAGGCTTCAGGATGCTGGAGGCTTTCAACATCACCGACCGAACATTTGCTGGCATGAATGGTGTTTCCATGGAGCCTGGCTCTTTTAACAGCTACATTGCCTACAGGCTACACAAAGACTCCTTCCTAAACCAGCCCACCAAGTAAGATCTGAGACTGAAAATATTTGTGTGTCAAACAGAGGAAGCTTGATTCAGTATGCATTTCCCCAGCCTGTTGTCCTTATCTGCAGCCCACAGTCATTACTTATAATGATGTTCAATAGCCCCTGCAGTCAAAGGGGTTTCCCTAGTGCCTACTCCTCGTTGCAGCTTGTTGAATATGAGCTGCTAGGAGGAACCAAATTAATTGGTGGAGGAATTAAAAGCTCCTGGACCAAGCCCTCCTCCCACCTGTTTCATAATGAGATAATAACCACAGAATTAACCTCTGGGTCAAGAGCTCTACATTTACACTGGGCCTCATATAAGTGGCCTGTTGAGGCAACTGCAGAGTTTCTCTATCTCTCCAGTATGCTCTTTATTATGTTTAAAATGATGCATGTTTTGCCTGAGTAGACACAGCCACTGGCTTAAAAAGCACAATTGTACGCACTTTGAACTGCAGCAAAGAAGGGGGGATGGAAAATAGTTCCAATGTGTAGGTAATTTCTGCAAGGCCAGAGAAAAACTTTCAATGATTTACAGGCCCTGAGGCCGATGTGACAAACCGAATGCAATAGTAGATGTTTAGATTTTTTTTTCAAAGCTGTGATTTTCTGGTTGCCAGAGGATCGAGTGGTCAGTTCTGCTCCATCATTCATCCAGTGTATATTTTTTCACACAACAGGGAGATCCACCCGGATGGTCTTCCCCCATCCTACACCATCATCCTGCTCTTCCGCCTGTTGCCCGACACACCCTCTGAGCCTTTTGATATTTGGCAGATTTCCGACAAAAACAACAACCCAGAGGTCGGGCTCACCGTCAACCGTAAGCCTCCCATCCTGTTTTGGCCCCCAGCTGGAGGGGGGACTCTGCTGTAGCTGACCCAACAAATACACAGCTGTGGTCTCTCTTTTTTTAACCATTTCAGCTCCTTTATTAGCTCTTGGTTAATTTACAGAACTTAGATATCACAGATGTGATAAGCATGAAATAAAAAGTAATTTAAGAACAGAGATAAGAATACCACATCAAATTCATTGATCTTAATCATACCCTGATTTTGTATAAGGGTTAATTTCTTCAGTCCTTACACATGTGGTGAATGCATGCCAATAATTACAAGCATAGGCCTAATCCCTTCAAGTCCTCTCTGTATCCCTCTCCTCTCCCTATAACCATGTGTTCTCTATCGTCCCGTCTGAGCTTTGCGTGCCACCCCATTGAAACACGCTGTCAGGGATTTATCAAAGACTCCTCTCTTTTCAGCTTCAAGCAAAACAATCACATTTTACAACAAGGACACCCGAGGAGAGATCCAGAAAGCCATGTTTAATGAGGAACAAGTGAAGCGGGTTTTCCATGGCAGCTTCCACAAGGTAAACTCAGCGCATGATTCTTCACCACATAGTGATGTTATTAAAGTTGGGCCTTCACAGGACAGACTGTGTGTCCTTTGTGGTTATATGTTGATTTTCATTTTGAGATCTCGAGACAGTCAGAAAATTGTTTTCATTCTTTTCACATACTTTCACAGATATTATTTTTTAAACCCTTTCATATGTCTCTAGTTTTTACGCTCCATTGAAGAAGGCTGAGTTACATTTTATAAGAACTAACATCCAAAGAAAAGAAGCTGTTTCACATCAACTGTCAAAAGTTCCCTGCTAACCATCTGAGAGTGTCAGGCCTGCTGTCAAAGTGATCTTTGAACTTTACAGTACACTGTTATTTTTAACCATGGGTATTGAATCTGAATAATGGGTGAGGGAGGCCACAGATATGTTTAAAGAGAGGTGGGAGAGAAATTCTTACATCTTATTGACTCTAAAAAAGGTGCGAACTATTTTGGTTAGCTCTTAATGTCTGACAACATTGAGGACAGAATCTCTCCTGATAGTTTTTCAGTAAATTTTCAGACTTTGGCATTTCATTTAGGGAGAGAACGCATCTTTACTTCATTGAAAAATAGAACAATGGAAATTTATGCAACATAAGTGCAATTTCTCATTCGTGTCAAAGCCTACATTTCCTATCATGCAATCTTTTATCTGAATCCCCTGCCTTGGACAGCACATGAGTATCAATATTGTCAAGTATCAGTACAAACAAATTTAAACCACATTACAGATAGATGCAGTCTAAACCCCAGTGTGATATATAACCCTGAAGTTAATGTAATGTCATCAGGGTTTTGTTCAAATTCACAGAGGACCTAAAACACAGTTTTGACAAACTCCACCTCACAACTTAGAAACAAAACGTTTGGCGTAAAATTGTTGCAGTGTCCCATCAAACATTAGTCAGGTAACACAGAACATTTGCTGGTTACAAGTGCATTTTTGCCAAACTTCAAAAGCACATACCACTGGCTGAAAAATATTTAGATTATAAACCATGGATAAAAAAGTTAAATCCAGATGTTTCCAGCATTCATACTATTAACTCTGAAATGACTTTGAAATTACCATCAGGGCTGCCTTTCAGTCACAGGAGATGGGTCTCCTCTTGGTTAATGCTTTAAAAATCATTACCTCAAATCTTCTTGTAACAATCTTTCAACAGTTTTCTTCCATTTAATAACAGTTACCGCCCATAATAATGTTGTTGTTGCAAACTCTGTACTTTTTTTTACAGTGGTGAAACTCTAACAATACTCCCACATGCTGAGCTTGTAACTGTGACAAAAAGCATTGGTGGATTATGAAGTCTCTTGTGGCCCCAGCAAGAGGTGAAAAGAGACATTAAATGCATTTAAGTCCAATTCAAAACAGCAGCGAATGAAAACATCCTCTGTTATGTTCCACCACAGTGGGGTGTAAAGAACAGAACAATAGAAGACAGTATATTTTCATACTGAGCTGGAATGACTTAAAATGCTAGATTTCTTGCTGGTGGAAAAACGACTGGTTCCAATGTACTCAAAGCCACGTCCAAATGTATTGACTTTGTTCCCAAGGACAGCCTTGTTTTTTTTGGAGGAAAACAGTTTCTTCTTTCCTTAATTGTAAGGAAAATGAATGAACCAGGGCCTCAGCCAATATTAAAGATCGCTCTTCTTCCCTCATATGACAGATTGTAGTTTTTTACTGAGGAGCGGATGAAAGGGGAATATTTGTCATTTACTGTATGTCAGAGCATACAGTAAATGACGTTTCAGTTTGACCATCTAGCATCCATATAACAAATTGCAGTGCAGCTTCATGAATGAACAGAACCCTGGAAAATGTCAGGTCATGACTGGATGTCAATGACATCACTGCTTGGTCTAGTTGGACGGCAGCCTGATCAGTGTGTGTTAAAAAGAGTGTGTCCTCCTGGTTCGTGGCAGCAGTGGAGCCTGCAGTCTTGACTGTGCAGTGGGTGGCTAGTTTGTGGTGCAGCAGTTGTTCTTCCATGAGCGTGTGATTCTGCAGCGGTTTACCTAGCTACTTATTTACTGGTCTGCTGAGTAAGTACCGCTGCCACCGCTGCTGCTGGTGTGTGTTTACATGCTGTAAGTGGTTTGCCAACACTTGTCCATAGCGATTATGAAGTGACCTCAGCGCTTTTTGTGTGTGTGTATAATTTTGCCCAAAGTGACCATTATGACTGTCACAAACGGCAGTCAGATGTACTGTCCATGTGAGAAGAAAACAGATGAAAAAAACACCATTGTAAACAGATTTTTAAGTTTTAGATCAGGGAATTGAAGCTTCAAAAAAGTGTCATTTTCATTATCCCATATTCATCCACTTCATGCTTCATTAGCTGGTACTTCTTTGTTCCATAAAATGTATGTAAAAAGCAAAATACATGCTTCCCTAAATCACTGATAGCCTCTTTAAATGTCTAATTTTGTTTGACCAACAGTCAACAGCCAAACTTGTTTTTATTTTCATAGAATACCAAGAAGAAGCAGTAAATGGTCACAGTTAAAATTATATAAAAAGTAAAATAAATACTTTTAATGTAAGCTTACTTTCTGCTGAAACCTTTTGATTCATTTAGTGTTACAGCTCTAACACCAGCACGCCAAGAGAATGATAAATCAGTGCAGTTGTGTTTGAAACTGCTGTTTGATATCTGTGGACACAGATTTTTCCCTTTTACTGCCCAGTCAAATACTTTGGATTTGTCTCAAAAGTATTTCAAACCTGCACCTGATCACTTGGTGTTTTCTTATTTGAACTGAGAGCTTGTTGATTTCAGCTCCTCAGGCTGGTTAAAGAAGAGTCACCTAGGCTGAAGGGGTCGTGTTCTCCTGCTAGCTGAACATGTGGGAAAGCTCTCAGAGATGGCTTTAGCAGATGCAAGCCACTCACTAGCCCACAGGGGAATCCCCTCCCACACTCAAGGGGTGGGAGTCCACAGTGGGAACCTTCCTGTTAACTGAAGTGAGCAAGACATTTCCCATGAATTGCAGTGACTACTCATAAACTGGCAAAGTTTGAACATGCAATTTGATGTAGTCACCCAACACTGTACTGACTGCTTCACTTCTAATTTAGAAAAACACCAAAATCAGCGACTTGGTCTGCTATGAGCTTTCTTTTCAGGGTTTTTGTTTTAAGGGTAGTGCCAACATATGCATACAGCAGTCAAGGCGAGGAAAGAGACATTTGCCAAAATATGCTCCGCAAGCACTTTTGGTGAGACAACCTTCTAGACATGAATCTGCTGCTCAAGGTGACCTGTACAAGTAAACATACCAACACTAAAAACACACACGAACCAGCGGAAATTGTCTATTAAATTTTCCTCCTAAAGACATTTCTCTTTCTGTTTCCAAGTGCCAGATCAGACATGGAGGCATCCCATAGTAAAGAGTGTAATGATTATGATCTGCCCAGTATTGTTTTCCATGCACTGAAACATCAATTTGAAACGAGAAGAGATACTGATTATGAATCTCTCTTTACTTATAATTAAAGGTAACTTTCTCTCTTGGATGTGGTGTATAGAAAAGCTCAAGTGCATGCATCTCAAGATTTGAAACTAAGAAAAGTCAGACAAGCCAAGAGCAATGAAGCCTAGTCTGATAAAAATCATGAATGTCAAGCTTATTGTAACAGAGACATTCTCAGCCTGAACACGTACCAAATGCACTCTGACTGCGTGTTGACACAAAGTGAATCACACAGTAAATCCTTCTGTCTTAACAAACAGTGAACAGAAATTGTTCATCTGTCGGCGCTCTGCGGCAGAACAACCCGATCACCTCTGAAAGACTAGTGGTCACTTAAAAGCTAGTTCATCTGAGGCCTTATTTTCCACTAACTACTAACTACTTTTGTGTGTTTACTTATTGGTCAGTGAGGTAATATAAACATGCTCAGTATTTGCCATCCCAATATATCATCTAAAGCTGTTTCGGTAAGCCCTTATGAGCATCATGGTGTAATGTAACCATGCCAGAATCCTGGGATAAACGATACCTCTTTCTCTTTGTGGTCACTAGATGCTTTTTTCTTATGCCAAGTAAGTGAACTGTAATTTTGTGATTGGTTGCCAAGACCTGTGGCCTAGTCTGTGGTTGGTATGGCTTTGTAGAAAGAAATGGTAGCTTGCTTTTCCTGACATAAAGAAAGCCTGTCTGACTGTTGAGGAGGGGGAAAATTTGCAACTATGAAGGAAAAGTATGGAAAATGTAGCACTTTTGATGGCGCACCACAAATGATATTGTTTAAAGATGTGGAGTTTGATCTCTGGACAGGAAACTCCGACAGCTCTCACTTTGTCTTCCTGCGTCGTTGTACAATCAAGACTTCAGCTTTAAGACTGTATATTTGCTTTTCTTGTGGTTCATTCATCTTCAGAGGATTCAAACAGCAGCCCCGTGCCAAATCAGTAACCACGCTGGAGTAATATCATAATCTATAATTAAAGTGGCTCAGCAGAGACTAAACAATTCCCCGAATCCAGCAGTTACATGAAACACAGTATCAACATCTTTATTGACTTCAGACAACATGGCTTAAAGCGGTTCACAGAGGTTATTTCTCGCCTTATGGTTGCACTTTCTTAAATAACTTCCTACCCTGCTTTAAATGAGCAATCATGCCAGGTCCAAATGGAAATCTATGCCAAACACAGCTCTTCTAAAGCTCCAGACCTCTTAGTACTCCTCGCCAAATGTTTGTGTTGCAACAAAGTTTGCAGATGTGAAGCATTAGGAAGACAAGAATGGTTTGTTAATAATGCTCCCTCTTCATCCTCTCCTTCCTGCAGCTCCACATCACCATCTCTCCAGAAAAAGTCAAAATGAATGTGGACTGCCAAGAGGTGGCAGAGAAGCCCATCAAGGAGGCCAATAACATCACACTGGACGGCTATGAAGTGCTTGGCAAGATGGTCAAGTCTGGAGGCGGAAAGAAGCAGTCTGCGACAGTAAGTGAAAAAGACACTTAAAATTTAAGGGCTTAGAGAAAAAAAGTTTGGATTTTTCCATAGCATTGATTTCCAAATCCTCTTGTACGTGGGTAAACAATTAATTTGTAACTGCAGGGAGGAGATCCTTCACCTCTCTGTTTGTTTTTTGTTTTTTTTGAGGAACCTGTTGTTTCTCTTTTACATCGGTGCATTTTCATCACAAGTGAGAGCCATTTGTAACACCCCTTCATTTTTTCCTCTTCCTCTGTTGTGTAGTTCCAGCTCCAGATGTTCGATATTATCTGCAGCTTGAGCTGGATCAGCCGAGACAAATGCTGCGACCTGCCCTCCACAGTAAGGACAAAAGTCATTTTCACAATGCCATCTGTAGGGATATTTTGGCAAATTTCTTTCACATGCTCCGTTTTACATGAGATGATCTTCACAGTTAATCTTTTACATACTTGCTTTTTCATGATGTTTATCTTCTGTAGGTCTATGTATGCATTCTCGCTCAGAAGTTCATGTATGATTGTATGCCGTCATTCAGCTGATAGCTAGATTGCTGTTCCAAATGAGAGAGCTTTAGCTGAACTGAATAGGACCTTGTATTCTGTGTAATTTGCGCTTATCGGACCGTTGCCAGTTTGATCCTCTAATTACATGAAAATAAGTGCTCCCTCAGATGACGAAGCAGGCACTAATTCTCATTTATTATGATAGAGTTTGGGGAAATACGGGATGCATGCACATGTGTCCAATTTTGAGTAATTCATCTATAATTTGCATCAGATATTAATACATCACCTCAGTGATTGCAGAGTTGTTATGTAACTAATTATATCGGAGAGTCGTTGCCAAAAATATGGACAAAGTCTGCTACTGTCACTGAGCATCTGGTCTGAAAGCTCCACTCAGACTACAGCTTTTCTTCATGAGCCACAGCTCCATCATGAGCTTTAAGGGTTTCAGAGCTGTCACTTCATTTTAATCCCCCTGTGAGGTCAAAACAAGAGGTTGCCAGGATACTGTCACAGAGTTACATGATGGGTTTCCCTTTTTACCCCTTCTGTTCTTTAGTTTGCCAAGGCATGGTCTAAATTATCTGTGGTGTATGTATGTGTGTGTTTGTATCCCATTTTCTAATTTCTTTATCTTCTGTCTTTCTTTTTTCAGAGAGATGAGGCCAAGTGTCCATCCCTACCACACTCCTGCACATGCACACAGGACAGCATTGGCCCTCAGGGGCCTCCTGGACCTTCGGTAAAGACCCCTCTTTATAACCTTCTTTCCTTTGTGCTTTGTCTCCATCTGCTCTACCTTTGCCTTTGTTCACCTGACAAAATGGTTTTCTCAGAGGGGAGACATGTTTGGATGATGATGATGAAGAAGCCATACTTTTCCCTGCTAATGTTATAACGACTCTACAGCCACAATAAGCTACTTAACATTTGCCTGTTAAACATTTTAACCTTAAATAGACTGAAGATGGCTCTCACATCAGGGCTGGTATTTTTTTTTCTTTTTGAAAAAGCAGTTGAGGATCAAACCAGTGGCATGCAATGAAACGTGGGTTTAGAGAGAAGTGTCAAACGATAAATGCCTGTCGGAAAAACAGCAGTAAAAAGGTCTGGAATATGTGTGCTTGGTAACCCCTCTGAGCCCCAGCGGGGATTTCGAAGAGCTTTGGGTTTTTTAGTGCTTTTGGAATCTACTCCTGATGTTACACTCACTCTGTACTTCTGGCTCCTCACTTTTCCAGGGCAGCCCAGGCTCTAAGGGACCACGTGGAGATAGAGGACAGCAGGGCACTACTGTAAGTAACATTGATCAAGCATGGTTTCCATATTTTGCCATTTAACACCAACTAATGACACCAAAATGGGCAAATTTAATAAACCCTTTCATAGGCTCTGAGTTTTGTTGACATTATCAATTCTACCAAATCTGCATGAGATTAAAGTCAGCTCACTCAAATCTTTTCGTGCATGATCACTGCTTAGCTACAGCCTCACCTTAGCTTACATAATCACATCTGAGTTCAGTTATGGACTGTATATTTTCCTGAGCTTGATCTGAAGGCCTCTATGTCGAGTACGATTCATTACTCTTCAGGTGTTAATGTTCGTGATCAGTATTTGTGTCACAGAAAGCCTGATTATGATTCTTTTGTTTAAGTGAAGCCATTAAAAGTCTTTGTTTTTCTTCTGCAGGGTTCAATGGGTCCACGAGGTGAACAAGGACTCCCAGGCTCAATGGGACCACCAGGTCCACAGGGTCCTAATGGACTTTCTCTTCCAGGAGAACCTGTAAGTTGGCCCACCCTACACAAACCCAAGGAGTGAAGTCAATCTAATGGGTCTGTGATAGATGGATAATAATGTAAATTCCAGTGAGTGGAATTTATAGCTGAAGTCAAAGCACCTCACACTCCTCTTTACCTCGAGCCAGGCAGCTCCACTGCGTCTTTATTTTCTTACCTGCAGATGTTCTTGTCAAAACATGAAATCAATCACATTTACACACTGAAATATATAAAACAAGGACCAAAGCTTCCTTCAAACCTCTCCTTTTTCTTTCCTCCCTCTGCACTTTCAGGGCCGCCCAGGACCAAAGGGAGATGCTGGAGACCAGGGCTTGGCTGGCCTGCCAGTAAGTCCTCCCCTCTCATTTTGTGGTTTATGAACAGGAAACAGAAGACTATCCATAGAGAGCAGCGTTGCTACTGGAACCTGGAATCAGTCCAAATGGGGAGATTGAAACCACATTCAGAGTGGGAGGTTTACCATACCGTCCTCAGGGGAGACCCACACTCTCGATTCAGCTTGTTGATTGACAAACAGTAGGAGGCCAGGGATGCAGTTAAATGATTATGGAGCCCAGACTCATGTTACCAAAGGAGGAACAGGGAATGGAACATGTTCTCTCCCAGCCTTAAAATTGAAAATGATTGTGACTTGACTTGAAGTCTGTCTTAAAACTGGACATCTTGATTTTCAGAAGACGTCATTGTTGGTACTTCTTGGACAAGAATGAAAGTCAAATCCGAATTGACCATAATCTTGTCATTCACCGTTCTTATATAATATAAACTTAAACACTTCTTTGTTGAGCCAGATGCAGATCTAAATTCAAGCTTAACCACGTCACATTGTAAGAAAAATCTTTCAGCTTATTGGCTTGGTCACTTTTAGAGTACATAAAATTATATAGCATCTCCTCGCTTAGCAGGCCATCATTCAACCAGATGAGGTCATTCCACCAACTCCCATGATTCATTGTGGGAGAACATCACCAATAGTTATTCTGGCATCTGAATAAGTGAATGGAGGCATGGGAGAAGGTTGTGTTCTCAAGCTGGAGCTGATTGGCTTGGTCACTTCACACAATAACACTTTTTGTTTCAGCACCGTCTCTGCAGGAGCAGTCGCATGAGCATCATGTTCGACAAATGGAGCGAGATTGTTCCACTTGTTAGTAACATGAGGATATATTATTTTTGGCTAAATAACTGAAAAACAGCAGATATTTTTCTGTTAGACGTAGTTGACAAAAGCATCAGGGAGTTGTTTTAATGTGTTGTTCCTGATCATTAGCGTTTGATTACGTGTGTCTGTTTTTTTCCCAGGGTTCTCCTGGGCCACGTGGTCCTCTGGGCCCTGTTGGACCAAGCGGAGCGCGGGTAAGACCTACCTCAGGGGTCTGCTTAGTGTTCACACTTTGTTAAAAACTTGCAAATGGGTCCAACACTTCATTTAGCTAATGTTTAGCATGTGATCACACACTCGTGTGCTTTGTGCAGTTTCACTCCATGTTGTCACTTGCGTAAGCCGGCAGAACTGAGCCATAACTTATGTATGTAACCTTTAAAGACAGATTTAAAGCTGAAACCGACATGAAGCCATGACACTGATGTATTGCATGAACGGGGTCCCCACAGTGCTGTAATCCATGTGTGATTGTTTGTTGTTTCTGCATAGGGGCCACCAGGAAAAGATGGACCACCTGGACCCAGAGGCCCCCCAGGACCCATGGTAAGCGTGTGTGTGTTTATTTCCGTCTTTGTGTTGTTGAGTTTGGAGCCAAATAAATATCCCTTGGAGCGTGCTTTATTTCCTGATAGATTTGCAACAATTACTCCTCTGGCTCCACGTTTTCACTCTGCTGGAACAGCATATAAAAAAAACAACAGACTGTAGACCCCACCACTGTTATGAGGATGGTGCATGCACCTCGTTTTCTTCTTCTGTGGTTTGAGGTAGTCTGAATCTACTTAATCCAGCCATGATGCCAGCTGGCAGCATGCCAATATAGAATTCACATGCACCATACCATCCTGAGCGCTCCAAGACCCATTAGCAGCTCATGGTGGCTGGTGTGTATACAGAACGGGTGCGTGGGTGCATCCTATTCCAGTTGTGCACGTGTGTTTCCATCTTCTTTTTAGTGTTCTTGGCAGCTTGTGCCACATGCTCCCCCCGCTGCAAATGTCAAAGCAAAGATCCCGACTTAAAGCTTGTTACCCAACCATTTACAGAGAGCAGGAGTTAAATGTTGCAATTATGTTTACTGTGCGGTTCTTTAAATTAAACACTACTCTTTCTGTTTCTCCGTTTTCTTTCAGGGAAGCCCAGGAAACCCAGGTGTACCAGGAATTACTGGAAAACCAGGGAAACCAGGAGACACAGGAAATCCAGTATGTATTAGAACAAGACACAATTAAGGGTCACAGAACAATGCTTGGAGGGAGCCTTGGTTGTTATGTGTTTTATGAGTGTTTTCCTCGTTAACAGGGACCTGTTGGCCTTAAAGGAGAGAAGGGAGAGAGGGTGTGTATTATATTCATTGTTGAAAAGTTTTCATACATCATCAATGACAAAAAGCAGTGCTTTGATTTCATGAAGATCTCTTGATTTTCCAGGGAGATATTGCCTCCCAGAACATGATGCGCTCCATTGCCAGACAAGTTTGCGAACAGCTTGTGAACAGTGAGTAAAACTTTTCTGAACCTGTGGAAAGATTTAAAGTTGTTCAAGCTGAAAAGAAATCCAAAATGACTGATTTTATTTTTTTTTCACTTGCAGATCAAATGAGCCGAATTGACATGATGCTCAACCAGATTCCCTCTGGATACCGTAGCAACTCTCCAGGACCAGCTGGTCCTCCTGGCCCTCCTGGAGACCAGGGAACTCGTGGAGAGCCCGGACAACCTGGTAGAACTGGTTTCCCTGGAAACCCAGGTTTACCTGGAAACCCTGGAGAAAGAGGTAGCTTATTTCTCCTCCTTTTCAAAAAAATTGTCAATAAAACAAGGCAGCGCGTAAAAAAGAATAAGCCAACCATGTACAATTAATCAATTAAGATAATGGGTGAATTACCTTGTATGGTTTAAACAGTTCTAGTCAGAGATACTCAATTATACAACTATACCCTGAAATATTGTCTGTGTGTTTCATGCAATGTCATTTGAGTTTTTGATGTCGCTAATCAAGACGTTGTCCATTTCTCTGGTTAAAATAGGTTTGCAAGGAGAGAAAGGTGAGAGAGGAACTCCAGGAACTGGTATCAGAGGACAAAGAGGTTCAAGTGGACCACCAGGTAACACAGTCATGATGTTTTCTCCCTTTCCTTTCCTAAATTTTCACATGTTCTCCAGCAGCTGCAGACAGTCTCCCATATTCTTTTTATGACTTTTATCTGCGCACTAAAACACAGTTTCATGATAACAGAGTTAGGTTTTTGACCTTTTTGGTGGACACTTCAAGGACACATATTTCTCCCTTTAGTCCAACTAAAATGACACATTCCAGCCAGAGGCCGGATTTTACCCTCACTATACGTGTCTCAGAACCTTCATTTAGGCAGCTGCTCGGCATAAATTCTTTGGAGGAACCCCAAACATATTCCCAGTTCTTTCCTTTCCTAAAGATTTATGTCTCATGTATACTGAGCTTCTCCAAACACCGCTCACATCTCAGATTTTATTCAGTAAATGGAAGGAATTTACGTCTATCATAAGAAGGAAATTTCTGTGTTCGAAGTTCAAGACTGTCTTGAATCAGTTTTCAGTGGAGGTCAAGATAGTTTTACAAACAATTGCTACAAATTGTTTTGGGGCTGGTTTGTCAGTTTAAAGAAGCCCGTAGCCTTTCACTAATTGGTATCAAATATATTTCTCAAAAAAGCTCACCACTTCTGAAGGTTTCCTGTCCTTGGGGAAACTATTGTGGAACAACAGGAACCTTCTATTGATGTCTACCCGACAATAGCAAACAGTAACATGTCTGTTTCTATGAATGAACTGAGAAACAACTGAAGACCAGTGGGAGGAAGTTTGCACTGATGACTCATTTGTGTGTGTGAGTGTGTGTGCACTGTATATGTGTGTGAGAATTGGATTGTGGTACAACGAGCTTTCTTTGGTGGCTTCATTGACAACACATGGGCTCACTTAAGGGAGAGAAAAAGAGGGAGAGGGAAAATTCCATCCTGAGTTTTTACCGTCTAGACAGACGGGGCCGGGGGGCTAACTTCATGCAGCCCAAGTCTTTTTTTTTTTCTTCTTGGTCAAGCTTTTTAATTGAGCCATTGAAAAATTTAAATTACAGTGCTGCAACCTTGTGTTAGCCCCACAATTTTCACTGAAGATTTACTGGTGATGTCAGCAGTGTTTGTGCAGGCATCCAGACACTTTGTAACCGGCCTTTCCTTACCTTCTCTCCTCCCTTTGAAGGACCACCAGGAGAGTCAAGAACAGGACCCCCTGGTCCTTCAGGCTCTGCTGGGGCTCGTGGCCCTCCAGGTCGCCAGGGTACTCCAGGAGTGAGGGGGCCACCTGGACCCCCTGGATATTGTGATTCCTCTCAGTGTGTTGGCATTCCTTACAATGGACAAGGATACACAGGTACACTTTACAAACGTTAAGGTCCTGCATGGTAAAATATTAGATTTAAGACTAAGTGTATGCAGACTAATTACATTTGCAACTCAATGCACTTCTACTTGCTATGATAATGTATGGAGATATGAATGATGGGTTTTTTTTAGTGTATTTTAAAGGGTGTGTTCACACTTATTTTAAGAAGAGTGACTGCTGATTGACTGTTCACTCAGCCCTGCTGTTGCTGCTCAGCCTGAATCTTTTGGTCACGTGACTAAATCCATAGATTTACCATTGGAGTTCTTTTGGAGTTTTTAGGGGTAATGTTTGGCTTTCAGACAGCTAGAAAAAACAGCTGGTAACACTTTATTTGACGCCTATCTCTATAACGCATTATAAATGTATGTGTAATGCATTATAATCACGTTATAGCATTGTATAACTATAGTTATAAACACTCATAAATGATCATAATGCTTTATAGCAATAATCATAACACATTATAAAGCATTTTATCATGACAAGGTCAGGTATTATAATGTGCATGTGAAATTATATAGCTTATCATTTCAAATAATGGTTTTTAAAACAGCTGTTGCAGAAAATTTTTGTCAGTATTGCAGATCATTAAGTTAGAAAACTCCATCTTTGACCAGCTTGGAATGGCTCAAGCTAACTTAAACCCAAAACCTGAGCACTGTGAAACATTCTCGTAAACTTGCACGTGAAGTACAGTCACACAATCACAGCACCACAGTTCAGCGAACAGTCAGTCAGCAGCAACTACTACATTTCACTACCTCCATACATTTGATGAACTATTTGAAACTGGCATGTAAAGCATTCTAGCTAGTGGTGAATGGTGTCTTGCATTAAATCAAATAAGTTGCTTACAACCTTGTTCCACAGAGAAAACTCACACCTACTTTGAACTATTTTCAGGTTTGGCATAATAAATCTTCTAAGTCACCTGTGCCGCTTACACTTTGAAGTCCCATTTCTGAGATGTTTGCCCGTTTGCTTTGGGGGCATGTAAGGATAATCACCATGGAAACAATTATCGAACATTAAGACAAACAAACATTATGAAAGCCAATAAACAGAACGGAGGGGACAGGCACTAACATCATCTCACAGCTACAAGCTACAATGATGGCAACCTGCTGGCCTGTTTGCTTCTTGAACCCAAAACCGGTGGTGGGAAAAATATCAGAGACTGAACATTTCTACGAAGGAAGGAGCATGTACAAATACCAACCATAAAACAAGTACTAACAAAGAGGATCTCATAACAGAAACCAGTGTTCATGTTGAGGTCATGTGTGTAAATAAAACTAATTTTTATGCCTTGTAAATGATGTATGAATCAGGACATTTCACTAAAAATCAAGTTAACATCTGTATTGAGCTTGTGCCTCATAACCCGCTGCTTACTTACCACCAGCATAACCTCTGTTTACGGCGCCTCAAGTGTTCAAACAGCTCTGGTTCAGAGTGAAGCATGTTCCATTTGTACTTCAATTCAATGTCTTCTTTTGTGTGTTGACCACAGTGCTAAATGTTGCTCTCTTGCCATTTCATGTGTCTTTTTGTTGTATGAGCTGGTTATTTTCCTTTGTCTTATATCTAATAACTTGATGGATGTAGTGTAAATGTCATCACAGCTTTTAGAAGTTTTTTTCTTTTTTTCTGTAGTTTTTTCTTTGGTTCGTTAAGGAAATTCAAACAGGGAACTTTGTGGAATTTCATGGTGCAATATATTTTTCAATTGTGTAAAACAAACCCTTCTTTGATTGGCAATCCCAAATATATTCTTCTAGCCAACCGCTTCCCACCTCAACCTGAGGTAGTGTCTATACCTGAGGAGCCAGCTGGAGAGTTTGAGACAATACAATCACCCGGTTACACACGAAACCAGCGAGGAAAGAGATCACTACCACGAGACAAAACAGAGAGACTAGCATCATAGCTACAGTGAGGAGTTCTCAGAAAGTGCAATTTTATTGAAATGACTTCTATCATCATTTACACAAGGAAAAAGATCTCAGAACAAAAGTAGTACTTATATGGGTTTGATACCCCTGGCTATTTTGAACATATATTTTTTTGACATGAGAAAGTTTAGCAAGATGAATGCAAACCTTTGTGTTCGTTCATTACAAACCTGTGTGCTTGCTAAGTGTTCCCTTTAAGTGTCTGCTTGTAATATAACTGCAAGTGTTTATCGGACTTCAATGTATAATGCACTAATCATGTGAAAACCAGCAGAAAGTATGCTGAAGGGCATACAGTATGTATGTATATGAACATTTTCAGACTACCCATGTTGTTTTTGTCAAACTTCAGTATGTAAAGCTGTTTCAGATTATCCATTGGTAGATAAGTGACAAATGATTTGACCCCAAAGATTTTGTTTATTATTTTTACAAAGTCCTGTAAAACCAAATGTCAATCTGACTCACTTCCACAAACCAAACTTGTTTTTATTTTTATTTTTAATTTGTTTCTTACCCAAGGTGGAATTGCATGTTTGTGTTGTATATTTACTGAGGAAGTCAGGATATATTTGTTTTCTATCTTTGCAGTTTGGATTTGGTTGCAAGACTATGGACATAGAATTGCTTTTCTCATGTTTTAACTGCACATTTTGTGAATTCCACACAGCCTTATTTTCTTATTTATTTCTGAAACAGAAGAGGCATTTTTCAATAAAACTACTGAAAATGTAGAGTATGTGTGTCTGTGTTCTAGTCTTTCTCGTCCTTTTGCTTTTAATTCTTGCCTCCAAATGAAAAACAAAGACCAGATCCCCAGCAGCTGTCTAATGGATAACTCAACATGCAACCTTTTTTTTCCTCATACTACACGCCTTTAGACGAAACATGGTTTGTTTGATCTAGAGTGACAGACTAGTTCTTCCCAACATTAGGCTTTGAAATACACTTTGAAGTTTGAGACTTTATTTATTGTGACAGCTCAAGATATCTTGCGCCTTGCAGAAAGTCAGCCCGTGTCAGAGCACAAAGAGGGGAAAGCAGACTGCGTTTAATACCAACGGGCCACAATACTGAAAATTTCCAACATGTGAGCAGCTTCACAGTCGTTTACATACACCCTGCTGGCTTTCATGCTACCAGCTTGTAATGATTATGTTTAGATTTCCATGAGGAAACAATGAAATAAGATTAGACAGATACTGGTCCTGGAAAACTCACAGATTTCCCCCCTGTTAAGCATGTCTAAAGGTAAAATGGGAGATGTATGAGGTAAGGAACAACTGACGCCATGTCTTTTTATTGTGTTGAAGGGTGGGCATGTTTGAGGAGGAGTTCTGCATCAATGCTAGAGATAAGGACAGATGGGAGGGGATGAGGTATGCAGGTCACTGTAAGAACAAAGGGGGAAATCCTCAACGGCAAACCTTAAGTTTGCCAATCTGATTATTAAAACGATTTACGAAGTAACTTTGCGAAAATGATTCAACTTTAGCACCCATGCAGATTTTTGGGGAGTTTGTATTTCATCAGAGTTGGATCCTCAGACGTAAAATCGAGTGTGAGTGACTGAGCAGCTGGTACATATTAAATGTAAAGGAGTTGAAGATAAATCTGGAGAGGTGTTTCGGGCACACCAAAAACACACAGGCATTAAATGCAGAGAACACAAAACCCCAGCTGTTAAAAATCGTGACAGTTTCATGACTGTGAAGTCCAGCTCTGCTCCCATATAGGTGATATCCTGCCTTCTCTACCTCTCAACATCAGGCTCTTCATTGATGTTTGATACCAACCTCATTATAACCCGTCTGCTCTCTGTCTGCTGGATTTCTTTAAGTTTGTTGATGAATCAGCATGCATCTGAGTTCACTTTGTGGTGAGAGTCTCAAGTGGGCTGCTCTACAGTCTGCAGCTGGTAAAGATTTGAAGAAACTCCTGTTTTATCTTCAGCTGTCCCCAGAAACACCAGACAAAGGGTCTCTTCCGAGGCAGTTGATATGACAACTGTGGTCTAATCTGATGTTGCATTCAGTTTCAAAATGAGGCCGAAAACTGCATTCGGTAATTTGTTGGTCACTCAGGGGCATGGGAAACAAAGTCTAAACATAAACCAGACATAACACCGTCTAACAAAGACAGTTTCAGAACAAGGGAAATCTGTTTACACATCCACCATCAGGAAAGTCTCCAAACATGAGATCAATACTTCAACTATTTTGGCTCTGTTTTGGTCTTGGCCAACTCTAGTAATAAGTGCTGGCCTTCTGACCAATATTCCTTTCCTGGTCTGATGTAAGATATGCTAGGTTTATCAGAGATTTTCACTAGAAAAACACAGCTACCTTAATCTAAAAACAAAGCTGATGTGAGCAATGACAGCGTGCTATTTTACAACAAATTCATCTGACCGAAAGAGGCTTAGATGCTTAGGGGTACTGCAGAATTGGTTAAACAATTACAGGCAGAAGCATCTTTCAATACGCAATACTAATACCTTAAATAACTGGCACGATGATAAGGCAAGCTTTGGACATTTTAATAGATTTTTTTTTATTCTTTGAAGCTCCTGTGAGAAACTCTCTGTTTTTATCAAGTTAGAGTAGTATTTTCTGACACAAAATCTCATCCTGCTGACTTCTGAGAGCCAAATTATGGTTAAGAGTTTGGCAAATCAGAGGTAACAGATTCTGTAGCTTTCAGCTAGGAGGTTAAAGACCTGCTTTATCTCCACCTTTTGGCCACACGATAGGTCATCTGATGATTGTTGTCAATAAGCTTCAAAACTCTGCTTCAACACACCAATGGGGGACATCTCTGATGCTACGTCCATGTTTACACAGTTTGGTTCCAACACCTAGGAAAGCCAGAACAGTGAACAATGTTTTGAGCATCCTTTGTAGCAAATGAAAGGTACCGTAAATGAAAAGGATTGATTTGACAGTATATTACTGTTCAAATATGCCATACGACTTGCTTACTATCTTTGGTGTAATGTTATACTTTCGACACTGTTTCACTGTGGTGTCAATCAATCAATCAATCAATCAATCAATTTAGGATGTCAGAGCCCAGATTAGGACTAACTACAGTAATTCTCTGTTTCTGAACTTACTGTGGTGTTATGTAACTAACCTAAAGTTGTTACTCTATTGCAAAACATTTTCATGTATTTTTGTCTTGAAGTCATTAATAACACACAGCAGCTGCCTGACTCAGCTTATTCCTGCAGAGTTTTATGAAGATTAAATGTCAAGATGGGAACCATGCATGCATTTTGGACTGTAGTTGAGATGAATCGGCAGCACACTGAAAAGCAATAAGAGACTGTAAAAGAGAACTTTATTTGTACTTTTAGGACCACTATGAAAGCACCACCATGAGGATTGATGGGATGACAGCTAAATAATGGAGATCACATGTTGTGGACTACAGTGGAAAGTATTTTTTTTTTTTTGAAGGTTAATGAAAACATGTTACAGCTCTCAACCTAATGTAACCTGCAGCACAGTACATTAATCATTACAGTACAGACTCTGCCGAGAGGTGCAGAGCTGCAGTCAACCAAAAAGAAAATAACGTGTTAATCCAATGTGCCTGAATAAAACCATGCATGACTTACAGCCTGGACAGTCACACTGAATATCAAACATTGAAGGTATTGTGGAATGTTTTTGATATTATTCAACTTATTAAAACACAGGAAAAAAGTTAAAGCTATTAGTCTTAGTCCAACATCACATGCTTATGGTAGCTACTGATAAATATTTCTGTGACATCAAGAAAAGACTGAGACCCTATAGCTGAAAGGGACAATTAAAGGTGGTATTATAAGAACTCTGCTATATTTCAGACAGAGAACCACAGGAAAAAGCACAAAGCAGGCAGCCTGTTTGAGAGTGTTATTTACAGAAGTCTTCCTGATTCTGAGTGGTCAGAAAAACAGCAAGCAGATAAAATATTTCTACTGTTTCAACTCCAACAAACAACTTCCTTCTCTCTATTCAGCCCTTCAAACTGCAGTTGGCAGAGGGTGTTGGTGTCATTCAGTTGTCCAAAGCCTAGCTTGTTATTGCAAACCAGCTAACAAACTGGTGATGAGTAGTTGTTTCTGGACAACTGTTGCTTTGTTCACATTGCAGGAAACTTAGTCCTTTTTACACCTGTAACCTTTGAACCTAATTTTAGCTGGACACTCAGATGACAAATGCTACTTAGCATACCCTTGTTAAACATGTGTATCTAGATGTCCTACTCAGCAAGCCTACCTGTTTTTATTCTTTGTAATCGACTCTGTATAAAAGTCACCCAAACACAGAGTGACCGGAATAAAAGAAAAACAAAGAGCCCACCCTGTCCAGAGTTTAGAAAATTTGCAAAAAATTTAAAGTAACTGACATGTTTGTTTCACCACAACATAACCTGCTTTAGTTTTTTAAAGAAGTTAGGGTGATTACTTTGCTATTGAGCTCTAGGGTAGCTTGGTTAGCTATTTTCATCGTCATTGTGCTTTATGATGCTAACCTGCTGGCTGCCTTTATTCATCCAAAATTTATAGCTATATCTATTAGGTTGCTGGAACTCAAAGCTTTGCTCAAGGTTACTCCACTCCTCTGTTTAATGCACTCATGAGCTTTACTTGGCTAAAGTGTTGGCCCCATCATACATGAAACATAAACTGACATCTTATGTGAAGTATCCTTGTTTGAGAGTTTAGCTAAGGTTTCAAACCCCCCCAATGGGATAATGAGAGAGGTTGACTAGTATGGGCTTTTGATGACCAATAATAAAAAAGACTTTTATAGACTGGTCATTTCTACAAGCCAACTCTTTTTCTGATTTTATGTTTTGTTTATCTTTGTTCCAAAAACGTTCTTTTTGGCAGCGTGAACAAGCCTCTAAAACAACACTTCCCCAGTCACACTCCAACATTTGAGCAAAACGCTGTCAAAAATGTGAATTTACACAAGCTTTT